CGGGCCTGTCCCATTCAGTTCGGGTAAATACTTCTGTTTGTTGATGGCGAAGATGCTGAACTACGAGCAGCTCTCATCAGAAAGCAAGGAGAGACAAACAAAGGATTTTTCCCCGCCCCCCCCCCGGATGACCTTTTCCCCCCCACCCCTCCCAAAAAAGACAAAACATAGGATTCACTCCGCCAATGATCAGACACAGCTAGCGAGTTGGCTCAAGGAGACACCGCCCATCGACGTTCCGGTCAGCGAAAGCTTTCGCGACATCATCTCCATTTGCACCAGGCGCGATGGATGAGACTCTTGTTGGTATGCCCTCCCTTAACATGGCACCCGGGGGTACCCCCAAAAGAGAAGCGATCTAGGTCCCATCATGTTAGTGGGAGGAAAGGCAGGACTCAGTGAGTTGGAGATGGTGTGTCCAACAGTAGAGGAAGATTCTTTCTGGGTACTTGGTTCGGCGCATGCCCAACTGGTAATTCTTTCCTTCCTGTGAAACCATGAGACGCTGTGGATGGACACTAACAAATTCGCGCCAGTTGGTATGCATGAAACCCCATGAATATTTGGATAAACCACCCACCAAGTACAAAGCGGATTTTGTTTATGCACATTGTCACGACCATTTCGATGCGTTCCCATTTGTGTTCTATGTTCGAGGGTACCCTTTCTAAGGTTGGTTTGACGGGATGCCAAAAGCAAAATCCATGTAAAGGTGGGGGGGGGGGGAACTTTGACGCATGCCCATGCGGAAGACTTCTCCCCCCGGCCAAAAAAAGCACGAAAAGAAAAGGATAAAAAAAGAAAAACCAAACAAATTCGCACATGTGTTTCTCTCCTTGGTCATTGTTGCTCTCAAAGACTTGGTCTCTTTCATCGAAGCCAAAAGGACAAACTACCATTTCCGCGGTCCGACTTCCGATTTTGACACATATCCAGACATCCGGCCGCACGCTACTAGAGGTTTGCTCCCAACTGAAAGACTCAGGCAACGGGAACATCAAGCCTCTGACTCTGCGACTCAGAAGTCTTCCAGACAACAAAGAGCATATGCCATGCAAAAGGATGCATAACCCCAAAAACCCAAGATGGTCAAACATGCAGACACCCCAACAACCAGATGTATGTATATATAATATATATACACATACAAATATATATATATATATATAGAAATGAAGCACGAAAAGCCGTTAAGCAGAGCCTTCCCTTTCCGCCTGGATCTCGTCAGGCGCGCGCCACAAGATCGCCTCTTAGCCTGCGAGCTGATGGACCATCCCTTCCTCGCTGAGTGAGGCGCCGAGCCCGGCGAGACGGGGAGATGTCTCCGACGTCTCCCCGTTCTTTTGGAAGCGAATCTGTTTTTTGTTGTTTTTTGTTGCGGGGAGAAGAATGGCGAGCTTGTCTTCGACTTTGTTTCTCGCAATTCTGTCCTTGGCCATTCTGTCCGAAGTGGGAGCAGTGACAGGAGCACTGCGGGCCTCCGTTTGGGGGCGGAGTCCGACTCCGTTTTCGTTCAAAACGCGCCGGGCTCACAAGATCAGCCGGAGATAGCGCTCTGTGTCGAGAGCATGGCCCCCTTTAGCGAAGCTCAAAGTAGAACCCGAAGATGGGACAGCAAAAAGACTGTTGGATTTGCCTATGCACATATGACTCCGTCAGTCAGCTGCCTTGGTTTCTGTTGAACCTGTTTGAGTGTGTCTTCTCTTGCAAGGAAAGGGACACCAAAGGAAGCCACCTATTCGAGGGGTTATGTTGAGACAAGCCCGTTTTGTTGAAACCATTGCGCGGCTTTCCGCGCGACCGAGTTACAATCTCAGCGCATGGCCAACACCAGAATCTTCACTACATCTGGGCCAAAATCAACCTATTTGGAAAGCCTCTCTGGATCAGTGAATCAGACCGAGCCCACGGGGGGGCCATGGCACAGTCAATCAACGAGACCGCCCCCTGAAGGGGGCCGCAAGCCGCCCGCGGGCCTTGCCACGCACAGACTGTGCACGCCAGTCGCATTGCCCTCGACGGAGAACACGGGTATCAGCCAGTCTGTCTCGTGGAGAATACGGGTATGTGTCAAACTGGGGATTTGTACCCGAAATTTGCTTTTCCTTTAAACTAGGGTATACCCGGAATCAACACAGCCGAGCCTTGTGGAACCTGGGGACCCGGCCAGAAAGAGGCCGACCGCTTTCTCTTTAGGCACCATTTCGCTTTTTGGCGAACGGTTTCTCAAGAAAGGTGGAGCCCTCTTGGATGCTAAAGGGGAACCAAAGGGACAAACCAGCAGGTGTCGTCGTTTTGTCAAGAAACAGGCATAGAGCAGGGTTCCAACAATATTGCCCCTTTGCAGGTTCAAACATGACCCTCGAGCCCTGCAGAACTTCAGAGTTGACGGCTCTTGGCGTATCTCGCCTGTGTCTTCCATCGAGAGGAGTCCAATTCAGCTCAGTTATGCCGCTCGCCCGAAGACCGGGCGCGGGCAGGATCTGTCGACTTTAAGGCGGACCGGGTGAAACAAGTTTGCAAACAGGCATTGGGGATGCCACCCAACTGGTGGTTTTCCCCAACATTGGTTTTCTCTTTGGAACCCCCCAAAAGGGTACCCTTCGAACATGAGACACCTGTTTCTGAGCCTGCCCAAGCGACCTAACCAGCAGAGCAGATCCCCGTCTTCTCTGTCGGGAAGGTCCCTTTTTGTCCTCTCAAACCTGTGTATATAGGGTTGACTAAATATGACACATGTTCTGAACATATGATCTTGCGTGTACCCCAAATGTGCGCAATTTTAAACCAGCCCAAAGGAGGTTCTCCCAGAAGGAACCTAAGCACAACCGGGGGAGGTGTCAATCTTGATGTCCACCCTTACCTTTTTAAGGGAAAGCCGTACCGGGAAGCCCTTGCTTGATTTCTTCCTATTCTGCTTATTGCGAACAGACCCGGGATTCGCGAGATTGTTTCCCGCTCAAGAGCATACCAGCTGGGGCCAGTAAGAAAATTGCATTGACTAGCTCATTTAGAGGATCTTCTGGTAAAGCAGGTGGTCGAACTCCGTTAAGCTATGTGGTTGGTGCAGTGTGCCCGTTTTGCTTGGTGCGCGAGACTCGGTTGGAAGGGGCTCATGAACCAACAGCCTGCTTGATCCCTGGCTTTAGCAATGTGGTTACGTGAGTTTTGGTCTCGTTTTGGATTTGTTTTGGAGCGTTATCCTAAACGAGACCAAAACTGGCGTAACCACATTCCTAAAGCAACCCTACAGGCACCGCTGAACCAGCAGCACACCCAACACAAATCAGCTCCAAGCCAACCCCAAATCCACCCAAAGTCGACCCTAAACCTGCCCAACAGCAGCCTGGAGAGGTCAGCCCTCAGCTTCACCTAAATCACCCCAAGACCATCTAAGCCAGCCCCCTAACTTAAACCAGCCCCCAGCAACTCCCAACTGCAAGCAGAGCCAACAGGCGACTGCCAGGCCAAGTGAGGCTGGTGATGCTAGGGATGTGGCAAGCCAACCAACCAACCAACCAACCGACCGACCGACCGACCGACCGACCGACCGACCGACCGCCCGACCAACCAACCAACCAACCATCCATCCAACCAACCAACCAACCAACCAACAATCCAACAATCCATCCATCCATCCATCCATCCATCCATCCATCCATCCATCCATCCATCCATCCATCCATCCATCCATGCATGCATGCATGCATGCATGCATGCATGCAACCGACCAACCAACCAACCCACCCACCCACCAACCCACCAACCCACCAACCCACCAACCCACCAACCCACCAACCCACCAACCCACCAACCATCCAACCAACCAACCAACCAACCAACCAACCAACCAACCAACCAACCAACCAACCAACCAACCAACCAACCAACCAACAATCCAACAATCCATCCATCCATCCATCCATCCATCCATCCATCCATCCATCCATCCATCCATCCATCCATCCATCCATCCATCCATCCATCCATGCATGCATGCATGCATGCATGCATGCAACCGACCAACCAACCAACCCACCCACCCACCAACCCACCAACCCACCAACCCACCAACCCACCAACCCACCAACCCACCAACCCACCAACCCACCAACCCACCAACCCACCAACCCACCAACCCACCAACCATCCAACCCTCCAACCCTCCAACCCACCAACCATCCAACCATCCAACCCTCCAACCCTCCAACCCGCCAACCCTCCAACCCTCCAACCAACCAACCCACAACCCACCAACCCACCAACCCACCAACCCACCAACCAACCAACCAACCAACCATCCAACCATCCAACCATCCAACCATCCATCCAACCCACCATCCGTCCATCCCACCATCCGTCCATCCGTCCATCCGTCCATCCGTCCATCCGTCCATCATCGTCCATCCGTCCATACGTCCATCCATCCAACCATCCAGCCAGCCAGCCAACGAACCAACCTAGCCCCCGTAAAAACACTAGCTAGAGGAAATACAAAACATCTCTACCAAAGATTCCTTAGACAAACAGACAATTCGAGACGCAAAGGATCAGCTTCCCTGGAAATTCTTTCCTTGGGTTTGAAAGGATCAGCTCCCCGTGGCTAGGATTGGCCAAGCATATAGTTCGAACCCACTTGGAGATTCCTGAAAGTGATTCCGGTTTCCTTGACGTATGGAAAAACAAGGGACTTTGTAACTGGGCGGAAAACGGACCGCCCAGTTTCCCAGTGCTTCGTTCAGTAGCACCCCTTGTTCCCTTTTGTCGGGTAGGTTCACTAAGAATGGCACCGCCTCCAAAAAGAATTGGTTTCTTTGTCTGCCCTGGGTGCCAAATCGCCAACGATCAAAAAGGAGATGGGTACCCCCATCCACGGATATGGAACCTGGGAAGACTATTCTCCCTCAAAAGGGATCCTGTGCGTTCCATGTTCGTGGACAGGAGGGCAAAAATGGTTTCAAGTTTTTGAGACCCCCAATTAATAACTGGGACAGCCAGAGGCGCAGGGCCCGAGCTCTCGCCAGAGGAGATCTGGAGGGAGTGATGCGCTTGGAACGCTGGGAGGGGCTTTGAATCTCAGCAACGAAGCGGCTGGACATTCCACAAGAAGTTGGATCCAGAACCTTTTGAATCCCCAGGGTTGCAACCATATCACCCACCTTGAGAGTGTGACCTGTCAAAGGGACTTTCGGAAAGGCCAAGTTAGGCGATGGTGGAGGGGGTGATGTGAGCAACCAGGGGAAGGTAGCCAACTCCTGGTTTTGCTGGGGATTTTGGGAACGTCCTATAGCTGTTCTACGATAGAAATCCCCCTCCCCCTCCCAGATTTCAGCCAGCGACCTGCTTTGGCATGATGAAACCACTGTTGTTGAAGCATCCTCATTTAGGTTTCCCTTCAACGCTTCCCTCGCTGTTGGGGATGCGACATTGATTTCTGGGAGGTTCGCTTGGGACAGGCTGATTGTTTTTCATTTGCTTGTTTGTTGCTTCTTTTTCACTGTTTCCTTCCTTGTTAGTTTTCAAGGGACATGGTCATGCACTTCTCCCTGTTCAGTAGGAGCTAGCTCAAAGGACCAGAGCACGAAATGAGCTCGGGGCCTTTCGGCTGGCCGGTGTTTCAAGGAAGCCAAAGCGGGGGTTCTTATATACATGGTGGTCTTTTTCCAGGATACGAAGGGGGTGCGCCATTTGGACGTTCCCGCATTCCCTTTGTGGATGGATCAAGCATTGCAGTAGCCTGTGTTGCCACCAGAAACGGTTGCGAGACTTCAGCAGGTGTGAACCCTATGTGGGGACTCAGCGTACCTCTCAATAGTCGAATCTAGTAGAGTAGAGTGCAAAGTGCCCCGCAGCCTCATTCTAATCATTTGGATGTGTCTTAAATTGCCACCCTGAAAATACTGGTTTACCCTTGTGTTTCCCTTTATGACCACTCAAGACAAAAGCACACACACACACACACACTCGCACGTATAGGCCACATTTGGGCAACTGGGCATGTGTCTTAAAAAGGGTGCCCTCCCTCCCCTCAAAAACATGATAGAAAATAAATTCTTGCTTTCAGCCCAAAACGGGGCACACGTTCGCCCGCCAATTTGTGGGCGTTTGACCAGGAGAGCTTGGAGAAGATCAAGGATCTGCTGACAGCGGCTCGCTTTGACAGTGTTTTTTGTGGCAGCGACCATCAAACACGTGTTGGCAAAAGAGTGGGTGTGAGTATCAACGGGTCCCGGACCCTTTGGTGGACATCAAGATTTGGGGACCTATCACTGTTGAGGTGGGTTCCTGTTGAAATTCATAGCCGGGTGGTCCTAGATCCTCAGGTGTTTCTACTTCCGTGTTGGTTCTACCACCTGGTAGGTGGGCTGGTAGAAAGAATAGTTTTAATCCTTCGATAGGTGGGTCTAGCACCTTGGTTCATGGGGGCCATGGAAAGGGCTGGATAAACCAACAGTCAATGGGTTCTCAGTTGAGCTGAAAGCTGCTCTTAGCCGAGGCAGTGCGTGCTTTGATGGAGAAGAAGGCAATTCCCAACGTGTTCACCTCACGCAGGGCTTCTTGTTCTTGTTGCCCTCTGAGTTCACTTGGGAGTGTCTTTTCTTGAGGGTACCAATTTGTTGTGGTTTCAAAGGGAAACCAAAAGGAAAGGTCCACTGGAAAAAGACAGCCCCACTTGTAGCGGAGGGAAGGAGCGCTTGGGCCAAGGAGCTTTGCAGTGCTCTGAACCCGGAGGAGCAGGCGAAGAAGCAGATGCAGGCGGGGCTTGCTTTTGGCTCTTAAGGGGGGGTTGGGGGGTGGCAGGTTGTTGGTTGAAATTCCCAACCAACGACGTTTTGAAATCGCTTTTGCCCTGTGCGATCAGGCCACTTTCCTCGTAGCCCAGCAAAAAGCTCAGTTCTGACACACGATCAGGTGGGTTTGGCCAAGTTCGGTCCTCTTTCAAGGGTCCTATTTGGAACCGCCAGTGCGGCAGACCGCTTTGAATGCACCCCAGGACTACTTTATCAAGTTGGATGGGGATGTTATCACAGGAAATCCGAAAACCTAATGTTCCGCAAGAATGATCCTCTTCAAGGGTCCTTAAGGATCAGTCGATATGAAGCCTGTTGGAAGGACCAAACGATGCAGTGACTCAGGTTGCCATTTGAACGGGTGTTCCAACTTAGATAGCGCAGCAAGTGGGTCGAAGAAGGCCCTTGTCAGGTTTCCGCGTTTCCGCGGTGTTTACGCATGGGGGAAGGAATCTTGTCAGAGTGCGTTTCAGTCAGTCGCGAGGTTTGGTTTCTTCCCACCTCCCCCTAAGAATTCCTTGTGGGAGTCTGTCTGGTGCCACCATGGTCCTGAAAGTGTGCCCGAATGCGCGTGGATCACCTTCCTAAAGCTTCAAGGTGTCCTTGGATGTCCTGAATTGGACCTGGCGTGTCACGCCTGGGACATGCAACGAGCCTTGGAGTGTCGTGGTCAACAGGACCTCATCAGGGTGCCGCTCAAGCGCTTTCTCGTATTGGTCTGTCTTTTTTGCGGCCCTGGGGGCAAAACCACCAAATCACAACTAAACATTGGTTACACACCAAGGCCTCACGTCAGTTGGGAACGCAAAGCCGCAAAGAACATCGTGGCTCATGTCAAAGGAGATGGAACCCCCAACGTGATGGGAATGGGAATGTGAATGGAAATGCATTTAGAAAAGCGAATCTTGCACAACCATGTGTTAGTGGCAGGGAGAAGCCGATTTGACTCAGCGCAGGGTATCAAGGTCAATAGGTGTTGCCCGGGCCAACAACCAGAGTTTGGTGTGTCTTTTTTTCGAGGTGACCCTTTTTGGGATGGTTTTAAATGGAATCCGAAAGGCACACCACTTTTTTGGGGGATCCCCTAAAGAAAGACGCACCCATATGTTTTTTTAAGGGACATTGGCAGGACATCGAAGCAACCATTCTGGTGTTCGTTCCCGCTTTCAGGATTTGAATGGGTCCCTGGTTCTTGTAGAGGGTAAATGGGAAACCACTCCAGAACGCCTCCAAATGACCTGGCTCCAAACCACCCCAAGTGCGCGCAAACTGATTTTCAGAAGGAAACTCAGCAAGACACGGAGACACAGAGTCCGAGAGAGACATGAGCAAAAGGTGGCGCAAGACACTGTGGTGAAGCAGGAAACAAGTTTCCTCCAAGCGTCTCCACAACTTTCCCTGAGGAGAAACAGTATGGAGTTGATGTAAATGAGGGAAAGCGACCTTGAGGTTGGCGTTTACATGGCGGGGCTTGGGCTCTGTCCCAAGGTCTTGGAGCGTGCTCTGGAAGATCTTCACCGCAGGCTGGAGTCGGACGTGTCAAAGCCGGCGGACCCGAAGGCTGGTTTTCCCCTTCTCCCTTCAACCATCCAAAGGGTACCCTCCAAAAGATTACCATTTGGTTGCCATGTCTTAAAGTGAGCTTCCTTTTGGTGGTGAGAAGGTGGAGTTATAGGAATTTGCAGGGTTTGGGCGAGGTTTGGGGCCCTTTGCAGGTCATTCTTTAATTGTCGGATGGTGGAAGGGCCCTGAAGCGGATGGGCCCCAAAGTTGGCCCCAAAGTAGATGGGCCCAAGAAAATGGATGAGTGGGATGAGCTACCACATGGCGCATGGCATGGGTGAAATGACCCCTTTGCCGGGTTGCTTTCTTCATCGCTGAAGAGACCCCGAGATCGTGAATTGCTTGAAGCTGATTGACAGCTTCATTGACTGGCGTGCAAAGTCCGTGAACGAGGGGGGGCCTCCTTTCATGTCAGATCTCGAAGTCGAGCTCACCGTGCCTTCACCCGGTGCCGAACCCAACGCAGTCAAGGTGACGGTGATCCCCCATCAAGAAGGGTCGTGCTTCGAGCCCGTCTCGGTTTCGCTCCACCGGCGCAATATTTTGCTCTCGATAATTTTGACTATGTGTTTAAATAGGGCGACCCGAAATGTGTGTGTGTGTTTCTTTTTGCTTCTCTTTAAGCAAGCACCTCTCCAAGAAAGGTAGACACAAAAGCCCACACCCCATGGACGTTTCTGGAAGGAAGCACCAGGTGGAAATGCTTTGCTTAGCAGCCGCTCGTTTCCCCCCCAAAGTTCGTCTAGCGGGGGAAGGTTTCCCTTTCGATTTTCTTCAGAACACCAAAAAGGTATCTTCAAATAGGACTCACCCCATCAGACGACTGGCTTTTCGCTCTCCTGTCTTTTCTCAAGCGAGGGAATTTGAGCGCGGAAGGGTTTCCGGCGCTGCGGATTTGGCACGTCAAAACTTGATACCTTTGGTCGTCCCTCGGGCTTTCGGCAGGCTCCCTGGCCTGCTGCGTGTCACGGAGGCCTGAAAGTGCAGACACCGCGGGGAGGGGGGTTCTACTCGACCGCTTCTGGGACCATTGCCAGACTTCGCTCGACCTTTGGCCTTTTTAGGTTTCCTCCATTTCCCCCTGTCTCGAAACTTTGAGTTGTTTCGTATCCTCGGTGTGCCTTCAATGTGATCAGCGCTTGGGTACTCCTGTCATTTGCCCTCCAGATCATTCCAGATCATGGTTCGACCTAGCCCAGCCATGTTTCCGAGATAGATGCGGGAAAGCAAACGGTTAACTTTTTGCAGGGGGTCCACTCGTCTGGCCCAGAGAAGGAGCACAAGCGTAGGGATTTCCTCTTAGTGCGCCAAGCTTGTCGAGGTAGCAAAAGGACGAGTCTGGAAGGTTTTGAGGTCCATTTTTTGCATCTTTTTTGAGTTGGAACCCTGCTTGGGGTGGTTTTAACGGGCTAAAGAAGAGCCTGGCATTTTCGGGGTCCCCTAATTTAAGACACATGCAATCTTGTTTGGGGCCTTCGGTTTGCTCTCAAGCAGGTAGCTTGCAATATGGATCTAACAGAGAGCGGGGGTTGGGCTTCTTTTTCCCTCGGGTTAGTTTTCAAAACACAGGGTTACCCTCAAACAACAAGAGTGGCGGGTCCCCTGGTAAGGTGATTTTTCCAGGTCTGTTGCGGATACCCCCTTGACCCTTACTTCTTTCCGTCGGTGTTCAATAAGGCGAGACAAAATCGGGGCGTTTGCCCTATCCCAATTCTTACAACATGTTGGGGCGGTTTCCACAAAGCAGTGAAAAACCTTCTTTCCTTTTTTGTGGAGGGGGTGCCCTTCTTTTCCCCGCACAGCAACTGGGAGTCTGGGATTCTGATTTTTCCCCGTTAGTTCCCAAGCGAAGTCCGGACGGTTTCGCCGAACACGGCAGGCTGATGGGGAGCTGCCGACCCCGCGTTTCTCCAGCCGCAATCCTGGAGCACAGACGTTGGATGGATGGGGTGCTCGGCCTTTTGGTTCGGGCCCGGATCTAAGCGTAGGTTTTGTTGGGAAAGACAGGTGGATTCCAATAGCAAATATTGAATGCTTTAGAGAAAGCCTCGCATGTTTTTTGGAGGTGTGTTAGGAAACTCCCATTGGTATCATTTGGGTGTGTGTCTTTTTGATGGTGCCCTGTTTGGGATGCTTCAGAGGGAAGCCAGAAGGCAAACCACCCGGCTTCCAGTTTCCCGCATTTCGATGCGCACCCATCTAGGAAACAAATCTTTTGAAGTGACTTCCGTTGCGTTTCCTTCGGGACAGGATAGGGTTCCGGCAGCCCGGCCAAAACTGGACAAGAGTCCGGAAGTCGAGGGGCTTGACTACCCCCTTTCTTTTTGGTAATATCTCCATTTGTAAGGGGCCAAAAATAGGCGACCCTTTTGTTTCCCCTGGTGAAGGCAGTGACTCGGGGTTCCCAGCTGTTCCCCCGCATCCCCTCTTCAATTCGCGAGTGTTGCGAATCCGCGAATCCGTAAATATAGCTTTAGCGGTTATACCATCTGTGAATTTATGTCAAACATATTCTCCAATCCAAATAATCTCCATTGTAATTGTATCAACAGTACCTTTTGGGTTCAGACTCGGACACAAAACCACGAGAAATACAACGTGGGTTTGTGGGTTCTCCATTCGGACCCCGAACCCCCCCCCGTTTCCGGCCCCCTTTTTGCCGGGCGATCGAGGGTGGAAGCTGCACAAGCTGGAGCCGCAGGTCTCAGAGGAGCCAGGCCGAGACGCCAGAAGACCCCAAAACGGGTGGCTTTCCAGTTGGTTTTCCCTGGAAACCGCCACAAAAAGGGGGCTCCAACTCTCAAACAAATGTCACACAGAGACACAGACAAACCCAGTGGGTGCAGTTCCCTTTGTCATTTCAATTTGGAGGAGGTGGGCCCCTGTCTTGCCAAAATTGTAGGGGCGGGGGGAGGGGGGGAGCTCAAAATTTCAACCACAAAGCTTGGCCGCAAAGCAGTTGCAAGCGAACTGATCAACCAGATCGATCGACCTTTGGCTTTCCGTTTGTAAGGTTCCGGAGGGCAAGCAGGTCCGTTGGGGTGAGTTCAAGAGCAACGAAGCCCTTTCTGCCTTTTTCCAGCGACATATTGGAAAGATGATGTGAATGCCGGAACATGGTATTTGCCAGCATGGCCGCATGGCCGTTGTGGCGGTGAAGGTTTGAAAGGTTGAAGATTGGTTATGACTGTCGTTGTTCGCCGGGTTGAATCTCTGGGGAAAATGTTCCAGGAGGCACAGCTTAACTTCCTGGAGGCCAGGAACTGGTGCACCCGTTGCTAGTCAGTGGCGTTGTTAGATCCCTGCCAAAGGCAGACCGCGAATGTGGCTGGTGGCAAGAGCACGCTTTGACGCCGCCGCTAAGGAGCCCCGAGCCTCCCACAATGAGGAAGGCTCAGAATCTCCTGTCCGAGCTCCTCGTCTTGCACAAGCGACCCAACCGAGGACTGGACGGGATTCCTGGCCCCCGCCATCGAAAACTGTCATGCGGCCTGGCACCACGTGTTACACGAGCTGCAGACGCTGAGCTTCGCCGATTCCGTGTGCATTTCGCGAGAGGAGGCTGAGGAAGCTGAGGAAGCGATAGTTGTTTTCCGCAACTTGCCCCTGCAGATGAACATGGAACACAATAAGCCGTGAATAGTGGAATCATCTCCCGATTCTTGAGTGTGTATGAATAAGAAGTGGCCGCATAAGTCTGGGGTCGCCAAATATCTTCGAATATCTCCTCTTTGACGCCCCTTTTTGGGTTCCATGAAAAGAAGCGACTGGTATGAGCCAGAGTGTCCTCAGAGATACGGGGGCTTCCGCAGTTTGGTCTGGGACTTGCCTGTGTTACCTCCTATTTTGAAGAGAGTGTCTTCAAGCAAACCCAGTCAGGTTGCTTTGTTCGACGGTACCTAGCCGGGAAGTATTCGGCACGTTGCGTGGAAGGTCGTGCAACAAGCTCCATAGATTTGGCAAACTGCGCCTCCGCCAACCAATTTCAAGGTGGCAAAGTATGGCCCCTCTTTTCGGACCCCGTTTGAATGGCGGCAACCTGATAGAAGAGCAAATTTATAAAGAGATCCATTGGCGAGGCTGCCTTTTTGGGGTTGTTTTCAAGGGACGCCAAAAGGCAACCCATGTCCATAGGGGTTTCGAGACCCCCCCCTCTCAGGCGCTTTAAGCCGGCGCTTGAAGGCCGACGTCATGCCTCGAGGCGGGCCCGCGGTCGTCTTTTTGCTGCCCAGCAATTCATAGCGACCGCAAACAGGGGCGGGATATCAGCCGCGCACCGATACACCGATACACCGGTACAGCGCACCGATACACCGAGACACCGAGACACCGAGACACCGAGACACCGAGACACCGAGACACCGAGACACCGAGACACCGATACCCCGACGTAGCACCCCCATACACCGAATTTGCGTGCACGCTGCAGCAATTGGAGTCCATGTCTTTTTTCGAGGCTTGTTTGTGTTGGCTGTTCTTCACCTTCCCGAAGCAAAGAAAGAAGAGCCAGGTCATTTTGTTCTCTATGTTCCATTCCATTTCATGCCAATCCCAGCTCGCGCCGATCGAACCGTGGATTTGGAGTCCATTTGTACTTCCGCACGGCTTCAAATCCCAAATTCGCCAGGCAGTGCGCCGGCCACTTGGACGCATTCAGCGGGGTCAAGCTGCGGAGCTCGTTTGGGTCCAGCTTCATTCCATGGTCATCAGCATGCCATGGTCAAAGCACCCCATGAGACTTGGTATCACGGAGTCACTGGGGTATACGCAATTTTTCTTTCTTGGGTTGCAAGGTCTTCTACTGTGCCATGGGTCAAAAAGCCATTCACGTGGACCAAACTGAAATGGCCCCGCTTTCGGTCGGACGCGCGCGAGCGGTTTCGAGGGAGAGGAGGAGGCCTTCTTCGCGTGGAGCGAATGCGAGGAGGTCGCATGGTCCAGGGCCTCAGCGAAAAAATGCGACGCAGCGTGCACGCGAAGGGCGTGATTTGGGTGTGGCTGAAAATCGTAGAATAAGATAGTCCTCAAAATGGTGGGGTTCCTTATTTTTGGCCGAACCAAAAAGGGGTCCAGTTCTCTTTCACCACCTCCCTATCTTGAGGTGGAAGAAGAAGGATGATGAGTGACGAGTGTTATCCGAGCCTCAAAAGCAGACACACCCATTTTGTTGCTCCAAAGGGCAGTATTGGAAACCCCAGAAACCACCAGAGTGTGAAGGATTCCTGCAAGGGGCCACCCCTCTAACCAACCAAGAGCAAAGGGCCCACCATTTTGAGAATGCACCACGCTTACCATGATTATTTCCTCAGCTTCACTCTAATTGGCGGTTTGGATTGTTGATTTGAAGGTCCTCAACCAACCGAAGCCACCAAAAAGCCAAACCTGACCTTGATCGAATGCAGGACAGTCCTATCTTGTCCTTGAAAGGCAGTTTACACGGTTTCGGGTTTGAGCCTTGAACTGGTTTCTTTCGGTTTGCTGCAAAAAAACACAAACCCCTTTTGCTGGGCCCGAACATTGAATATTTTGCGGGTTTCTTAAAATCACTTTTTGCGCGGTGGTTTCTCTTTAGACCACGATTTAGCTCGGGTGATTTTGAGGATGTCGCTTCAATGGACCCAGTTATCAGGGTTCCCCACATTTTGGCGCATACCCATACCGATTAAGAAGTTTTTGGCAAACAAGACGCGGTTCACCGAGGTTCTTGCTTTGCTGGCGCCTTTTGGGCTCCCTCCTGCCCACTTTGTCGCGGTCGCGCCACGCCCAGCCCCAGCCCCAGCCTTTGGGGATCATGGGCTCAAGGCCAAGACCTACGTGCCCCATGGTGGGGTTTCCCTGCAACCATCTGTCAGGGTCCCTTATTCTCGAGGGGAAGCGAAATTGACAGCCCGGTGGTTTGGAGGCGTTCCGGGGGTTTCCCACTAAACCCTCAAGGAGTTCAAGCCTCGTCAAAACCGAGGGGCCCAAGAAGGAGTCAACCGCAAAGGCAAGGTGGGTGAGAGACGGATAACCAGGTAGAAACAACTCGCTGCGTTTCCATGAGGATGATCCAAGCCCAAAAATATCAAGGGCAATCAAAACCCAAAGAAAGAAGACTTCCAGGAGAATCAAAACCCAAGGGAATAGATGAGTGAATCCTTGCTGTCTCTGTTGATTCCCTTGATTCGATCGGGGGTTTGCCTTCCTCGATCTGACTTTGAGGGCCTGGCTGCTGGCAGCAAAGGCGCCGCAGCAGGAGTGGCTCTCGAGCCGCTCAAATCGGGATCGGGGGAGTCTCCGTGTTTCCAATAAGCTACGCGGTGCTCCTACCGACAAGCAACACAAATTCGGTATCTTGCACAAATTTCACCCTCGTGACTCAGAGCCGCATGCAAAGCCAAAAAACAGGGGGTCTTGAGGTCGGTCGAAAATATGCAAACACCACCCGGGGCGTGCAAGTCGAGCCCAACCCATTTCTGAAAATGGACAACCTCCTTCAAAACTGGGTGAACTGTTAGCCATTCTCCAAACATTTCTGAGGGAAAGCCCCTAGAAAGCACCAGGATCATCACAAAGTCGAAATTTCTGCCAAAGTTCGGGAGGTTCGGGGCCCTCACACGCTCCTTTTGGGTTCCTTCCATTACCCTGCAAATTGACATGGCTTGCCCCAAAGGGTCAGATTCTACCAATCATGGCTGCAGGGGGGTCCGTATGTCCCCTTTGGGCATTAGCTTGGTTTTGGGGATCTGGTTGCGGGGTCCCGCTTCCAAATTCCCATATTTGTTAAACTTGCAGGCCAACAAACCACCAAGCCTACACTTCCAAGCAGAAGGTACCTGAGAAATGCCCCTCCAAGGGAGAGACCCACGGACCTGTCACGGAGGGTATATAAACTCCAAGCTCGCGGTGATCCCCTTGTACATAAAGGGCGACGTGTTTTATTCGCCGCCATTTTCCTTTAAAGCCCGCAAACCGCAGGTTGCGAAATGGAGACCAAACAACTGGGGGTTAGAAAAAAAACGAGGCTTGGTCCCTGCTTTTGTTGGCCTTACAGAGATATAGCCTATAACCCTTTCAGCCCTCCAAGCCTTCCCAAAAAAGTCTTTTTTGCGAGGATCCCCCCCCCCCCAGTTCTTGTTTTTTGGGGGGAGAAGCCAAAAAGGACCGGCGTTGGACGCCCGTTTAGGGGGCTCCAAGCCCGGGCACAATGGGCGCAAGCGGCGCCTGTTTCAGGAGGCCTTCCAGGCCACCCGGGACCGGCTCCGCGCCACTCTGCAGCGCTGCCTCCGCCGGGGTCCTTCTTTCGGTCGGCTTCGGGCGCGTTTCGGGCGCTGGTGGCAGGAAGCGGTGGAACTGTCTTTTTTGTCCTTATGTGCGTTTGGCCAAAAAAACAGCTGCTTGATTTTTAGGCGTCCAGGAAAAGGCGTCCAAAAGAACTGCTTGGGTTGAGGGTTAGAAGAACATGGTTGCGAGCCTTGCAAGGACTTACTGCGTTTCCTTGTGAAAAAATGATGGTCGGGGGTGTGCACGAGTGGCAACGGGGGGACGCCTTTTTGGGGTTGATGGATCATGCCAGTTTTCCGTCCATCGGTTTCTCCAGGAGCCAAATTGGCAAATTCTGGCTCTGCTTCTATTCCATCCGTGTTGTTTTTGAGTTTGATGAAAAGGGACCTCCAAAGGAAAACCACTGAAAATTTGAGAGGAAGTCGCCCTACTTGTGTTCCTTGGGGGACCCCCCCAGGCGGTTTCCTCTTCGCTAGCTTTTGAAAGCGACTCAACAGGTACCAACTCAAGAGAAAAACACACACGCACACATCCATGCGAAACTCCCCCAAAAAGGGTTCCAAAGGTCGGACAAACGCTTCCAGCACCTTGAATGCATTCCTCTGGCGGGCCCATTTCCAAACAAGGCGCCCCTTGCCTTTTTGAGGCTACCCTTTTTGGGGACGGTTTAAACGGACACCAAAGGACCATCGCTCTTTGTGGAGGTCATTTTCCGCAAGCTCCTTTTGACTTTTTGGCCTTCTATTTTGGCGACCAATTTTAGCCAAGGCCCAAAAAGGTGACACCTGCTGTTCGGGCAAGTGAGGTTATTTGTTCCATGCAGTTCCACTTTCTGGTTGCATGGGAACAAACCCTCGAAAATCAGAATACAAGTACATGACCCAAAGTCAATAGGTCCTTTTGGGTTCCCAAAGAAGGATCTAAAAGCGGCTTGGGTCTTGGGGGCCCACGCTCATCTGCTGTGCTCCTGGTGGGAGCCAAGGAACCGGGGATCCCCATGAAACTCATGGGGTTTCGAGCCCTTCGGAGCCCAGAACAGCCCGGGGGTTTAACTCATGGCCTGAATTTTGGCTAAAATGGTTATGCAGTTATGCAGTTATGCAGTTATGCAGGTCAGGTTCTCCCAGGGTTCGCCCATAGGCCCTTTTTGTGTTTTCGAGGCTTGTTTGAGACGCACAGTGAGGTGAGGAGACCAGTGCCGTGGCCGCCTGGAGCCCCGTCACGGGGGTGTGTACTTCTTGGACCGAAGGCTGAACGGTGGCCCCGGATCCAAGTAGAACTAGTCCTACTAGGAGGGGTTTGGAATCCCCGCTAACCGGGGCACCCCGTCAACCTTTTGCCTTTTCCGCTACGGGCAAAAAACTTGAGCTCTGTTTTTTGGGGGTTCCAAGTCTGGCCCAGTATTCATTGTGTGTATTATATATATACATTCATACTATATGCGGGGTTGATGTGTGCATACCTTTCAACAATAGTAGACACAAATGCATTTTCCTGTCAACATGGGTGCGTCTACATTTGGGGACCCCACCCAGGTTGTTTGTTTTTTGGCTTCCCCTTCAAACCATCCGAAAAACTGGTGCCCTCAGAAGAGAAGCCCACATGGAAGTCTCCAGCAAGCCCTTCGCTTTCGTGTCTTGTTCGACTTGCCAGCAAACCTGTGTCCATTTCCCCACTGAGAACAACAAATTGGTGTGTGTGCGTGTGTGTATGAAGTGCAGGGGGCTGGAATGTGCTTCAGATGTCTCCAGCCAACGAACACACACACATTTGTCGCACACTGATATGGTTTGATGGTGCTCAAACTCAAACCATGTACCTGCGATTTCTCCGATTTCACGATGGATCCTGTGACCAGTTGCCTTGTTTCGTCGTGTGGTGTTTTTGTTGCTTGACAGTGTTGCTGGACTCTGCAGTCATGAGTGATTGCATCGAGCATCTTCCTCTTGAGAGCGGGTGTCCAGTGCTTCCAGAATTGATTCAGTATGGCCTGCAATGGGCCCCGAATCGTCGCTCTTAGTTGCCGGGCCCCTTGCCGTGATACCGTTTGGCGGGTCGGGAAACTTTTGAACACAACAAAGATTTGCTCGGCTTGCACGGAAAGCTGCTTAAGGCAATCCAATTGAACAAAAACATCGGGTCGTGAAACCCAAGTTAGCGCCGGTCCGAGATTAAAGAAGGGCCCACTTGAGGACTGCTTTTGAAGGAAAACCAAAAGTAAACCAAGCATTCGATTTATTTGTTCATATAACGATTCAGAGAGGTCAGCCTGATAGTCAATTTCGCACATGCCCCCTCCCCCCGGGTTTTGTTATGGGGACCCTTCACAGGGAAACCCCGCTTTGGTATCGCAGAAAAGGTGGTTTTTCACAGATGTCCGTTTTTGGTCGATTTGTGTGGTTTTAGGTCTCATCATTTTCCAGTGGGATCCATCTATTGTGGGAGCTCGACCGAGTGCGTGTCAGGTGCGGACCACCACACCCATCATCCTTTGGAACGCTCAGGATTGGGTTTGATGAGGAGGCTCAGTGGATGGAGAGTGCCAAAGGTCACCTACGGTGTTTCTGGCAGCTGCGTTCATAGTAGCTGCGGAAGCGCTTGACAGCTTGCGGCCGGGAAGGTCCCGAACACTGGTGGTCACCGCCTTTCTCTTGACACAGTGGAACGCTGGAGCAGTGGGTAATTAGATGGTTTGTCCCAGCCCTAACTGATGCGAAGTCGATGTTGTCCATCCACAGTATTGCCCTGTTTTGTTGCTGGCTTCGTCATCTACTTCACCCTGATGTATTTGGGCGTGTCCTTTTTGTAAGGGTAAAGGGTACCCTTTTTGGGCCGTGTCAAGGGGAAGCCTTTTTTGGGTCGTGTCGAGGGGAAGCCAAAAGGAAGCCGACCATTTTTCAGGTTCCCCTATAGCACTGACCAATTTTGTCCACACGACATCTGAGTTGTTTGTGATTGTTCTGAGGTCCAGGCGGGCATCAGGCGGCTGCACCAGGAAAGCAAGAAAGGCGAGCGGGGAGCCAGGAGCAGGTGCAGACAAAGGGGGGTGGTTCCGTTTTTCGTAGCAATTAACCAGGCAAGCAAGGCAAGCAGGCAAGGAAGCAAGGACGCAAGGACGCATGGAAGCAAGGAAGCAAGGAAGCCAGCCAGCCAGGAGTGCTTAGTGGTCCGGGAAGAGTTGCTACGATGTTAGCATTCCCCAGTTGAGCCGGGTTGACTAAAATGCTTAGAAGAGAGAGCCAAGTGGAGAAATCCACAAGTGGATCCGGCATCTGTTTTTTCTTCCTAGAAGGAAAGGCGCCTAGATAGAAATGACCAAGGAATGTTTGGATGTCAAATAGCCAACGTAAATTATATATTTTGTCCAAAGTCCAAACCGACACCAGCATAGGATGGGTCATTGTTTCAGAAGCTTATTTGACTATTTGACACCAGATGTGTGAAGTGGAATGGCACGTTAGGGTGAGGTTGCTACTTGATCTAGGTCACAGCCAATGTTCTGTCCAAAGTGGATGCCTCTGAGTTGCTGAGTTGCTGAAGGATTCACAAAGAAAAATGGTTGGAACTCCTGAAAAGTGGTTGGTGGGCGCGATCCCCCACCTAACTGATGTCCACGATAGGGTTCCCAATAAAAAGTCATACCGATTTTGAAAAGCTGACTTTCAGCCAGGTTCCTTTGCCTCAACCGATTTTGGTACATCCCAAACCCTTTGGGGAACATCCCCGAGTTTGTCCAATGTTCCGAGCCATTGAATCCGAGGGCTTGATGTCTGGCCAGATACCAAAGCATGCTCCCCCGCAAGGTCAATCAACTTCCTCTTTTGCGAAGGCAACTGGAGTGCTCCAAGAAGCAAACCAACTTCTGCTCATCTTTCACATCTGCCACTGTGAAAACATCCTTGGGACATTCAGGGCTGGCCACACTCGTCTAAAGCAGTTTCTTGTGATGGAAGCATGAGACGGCATGTTTTTGTTTTCCCCCCCATGTTCGGTCCATCGCCTTTTTTGGAGGACTCTTTCGTTCTAACGGGCTCCCGCCTTCAAAAGATGAAGCCCCGAGTTGGTAGAAACTGTCTTTTTAGGTTGGCTTGTGGAAGCGGCCAAACCACTAACAATTTTGGGATCCCCTGTTTTGCCACAAACCCATATAGGTTTCCCTTTTCAGTTTCCATTTTCTACCCTTGTGACGATCGGGATTCGCGAGCGACACGAGGCCAGAAGAGCTCGACCCGAAACCACCCGCCCGGAAGTTCACTCCTTAGTAGCCCTAATTACAATGCATGCCCAGGTAAAGCGCCACCCACTTTGGTATCGGAGCCAGGGTCAATGCATGCCCAGTTGCATCATGTCGCCCGGATGTACCAAGCTGCCAGATTGACAAGAGGGAAACGTGACCAATCCCCTCTTAAATGGGATAGCCTCGATGTAATCCTGCAATGGCCATGGTTAGACAGCCTTACAACGGGATCACCGCTGGACTGGGGATCAACTTGGGCGCTACTAAGTACGTACCCTCTTAACAATCATGGAAGTGGACGGGAGGGTTTTGGACATCAACCAACATTGCGAACCATGTTTGTTGTCCCAACACCTGCTGGTTCTCAGTAGGGAATGAGACATGACCCCGAACTGCACCACTGTTGGATGTTTCGTATGAGATTTCTTTCCGGTTCATTCCCAAACCCCCAAACATAAAGAAGCGCACGATGTGTCACACCACAACTGGGTCCAAGAAAGGTGACATCACTTTTTGACCCGTGCGAAGTTGTGGTTTACTTGGGGAAATTTAATGGGGGGTTGCGACCTAATGAACTCATCAAAGGGCGCAAGAACCTAATTTGAGCTAGTCCGAACCCCCCCCCCCCCGCCCCCAATTTCTGACCCTAGCCTCAGAAGTCATCAAGTGGCTGGACCTCAAACTTTGATATCGACCATGTCGGGTCTATTAAAATTTCGCACCCAGGTATACACAAAGAGAGAATCTCCATTGTCCGTTGGGTGGTTTGGGATCTCCATTTTTTTTCCTTGGTGGTGTGGGGGGGGTACCCATCGCCACGCCAAGCAATCCGCGCGGCCTCCGAGTTCTTCTCGTCGAGGCCACGTGGTGCGGCTGCAGGGCTCCGGGGCGCTGAAGCCGCTGCTGCCCAAGCTGCGGCTGCTGCAGCGCCTCTGGCTGCGCCGGAAGCTCTGGCAGGTCCAGTGGGCGATCTGTGGGGGGTGATCTGGCCGACGGGAAGAAAGTTGGGGGGCGGGAGGGTAGGGTGGGGTTGCGGGGGTTAGTGGGGGGGGGGCAGGGTGTTGGGGGAGGGTCTCTTCGTTTGTTTGTTTGTTTGTTTGTTTGTTTGTTTGCTTGTTTTTTGTTGTTGTTGTTTGTTTGTTTGTTTGTTTTTTTTTTTTTTTTTTTTTTGTTTGTTTGTTTGTTTGCTTGTTTGTCTGGTTTGCTTTTTTGCTTGCTTGCTTGCCTGCCTGCCTGCGTGCGTGCGTGCTTGCTTGCCTGCCTGCCTGCGTGCGTGCGTGCATGCTTGCTTGCTTGCTTGCTTCCTTGCTTGCTTGGGTTGGGTTGGGTTGGGTTGGGGTGGGCTTTATCCTAGGGCTTCGCCATCACCAGCTGCGCTGGCCGGTCGGACGGGTGAGATTAGGTGCGACGGGACCTTGTTTCAGAGCCTGACCTCCGGACCACCCCAAGCACGCGCTCGCTGCGAACCCACACGCACAAGCTAGCTTGAGCGCATGTGTGCCTGCTTGCGTCCAGCGCTTGCGTCCGGCGCGCCGCACGTGTCTCACACCGAAAGCCAATCAGACCAAAAAAGGCACCCCCGGCAGCCTGTCCCAGCCCCACAGAAACCGGTGGAAAAATGCAGAAAACACGGTATGTGCCATGTTTTCCGCACAGCGGCAGCGGCCGCACTTGCGCAAGAAAAGCCGCCCACTCGATCGCAGACTTGTCCGCCATGTCCGTCTACCGCCAAAACCTACCCTCAGGGTTGCCCTCGCTCTTCGAGCTCGAGGACACACAGCGCAGCTGGATTTGAGTTTGTTTGTTTTTGTTGTTAGTTTTGTTAGTTTGTGACTGGTTTCTGCATTCGCCTTTCATCAGTCGTGTTGTCGAGTGTTTCGTGCATGCTGGTCAAGGCCTGGTCGTGGCCCCGGGCAACGACATGGACTTGTTGTTCCCAGAAAGCACGACTAAGGTGATGGCAACAGGGCGGCCACCGGCCGAGGCCCTAAATCTGTACTTCACAAAGAATACGGAGGCCGAAAGAACCTTGCCTCAACGCCCCACGAAGCAGTTGCCCCCGGCCAAACGAAGAAGGGTTGGAGCGGTAGGCCCAGAACCGAGGGCGGTGTTTGCTCACTGCTTTCGGCCCACTAGAGCGTAGTTGGCAAAAGCACGTTGCGCGTTGAGGCCGCATATTGCGTGCGCGTGCTCCAGGCAGCATTGTTTGACAGGAGACATGCCCGTGAGGTTGTGGGCAGGACTTCAACATCGAAACGTTTCTCCAGAAGCTCTGGGGGCGCTGCCTGACGCTGAAGACGCCAGCTGCAGCATGGGCAGGGCACGCTGTGCGCAAGGGCAATGTCGCCAGGTTGCTACGCTGTCCGTACTCCTCGCGCAAGGGCGGGTGCTGTTTGCAACAAGCCGCATGGAGGGCAGACTCGCGCGGCGCTGAGGAGAGTGCTTGGGCCACAGTGCCGCCGAGGATGCTGTTTTCATGCGCTCCGCGCGATGTGGCGCTGCAGCCACGCAAGGTGCAAAGCCGGTCTGTTCCTGGAGACAATGCCTTGCGCTAAGCAGCGCCCAGGCGCTGAAAAAGGCAATGCGAGCCGTGTGTGGAACACATAGCGCTGCCAGGTTGCCTCAACCCGCAGGCCTTGCTGTGCAGCAATTTGCGCCTGCCGCCCAGGTGTTTGAAGCGCGCCGGCTGGCGCGCAAGCCTTGGTTCGAGCTAATCTTGAAAAGGCAGAAGGCGTGGGAAGTGCAGTGTGCCGTGAAGCTGACGGGAACGCGCGGCTTTGAGTAAAGGCGCGCGTGAGTGCCAGGGGTCTTGAGGCCTAATTGGCGACGAAGCTTGGGGCGAGGGCGGCGCAGAAACTGGCGCAAGATGCTTGTCGGAGGTTTGCTTGTCGGTGTCAGAGGGGCCAGAGGGCTGGTTGCAAGATGTTCTGTCCACCTGCATTCACCAGGGTTGTCAGTGAGTCTTGTGGCAAGCTCATTTTGCATGACAGGCGCGGTGGGACAGAGCTTTCAGTTCAAAATTCATGGTGGGCGGGGCGCTTTAGAGCTTTTTGCTCAGCTTGCGAGGCGCAGCGCTTTGGGGCTCGGTGCGCAGGTTCCATCGCATCCAGAGTATTGCGCCTGTCACGAAACCCAACCTTGAGAGGTTGACGGCGCTCGTCCAAAGCAACGCGGGACTGCGTCGCCATACTGATCTCGACCGGGTCTTGCAAATTTCAAGTTTCAGTTTGCGTGGCGGGCGCGCCGCTTTGGAGCTTGGGTGCAGATTTCGTGGCAGCGCAGTGCCTCGGGAGCCTTGCGATGTCTTTAGATATTGTCTTTGTGGAATGTCTTTGCGGGATGTCTTTGGAGGGGTGTCCTTGTGGTTGTCGGTGACTTTGGGCGTGTCTTTGGAAGGTGACTTGCCTTATCTTCAAGGGGATGTTTTTAAGAAAGGTATTTATTAAGAATGTCTTTACGGTTGTCTTGGGTGGGATGAGTTTGCGGTTGTTTTTTGAGGTTGTCTGTGGTGGGTTCTTTTGGGGATGTCTTTGCGGTTGTCTTGGGCAAGTCCCGGGACGGCTTCAAGGGTGGTGTCTTTGGGGTGGATATCTGGGCTGTTTTTTGGCGATACGTTTGCGGTTGTTTGGGGTTATCTTGAGGTGTTTCTTTAGGCGCGTCTTTGCGGCTGTGTCTTCGGAGGTGTTTTGGGGATCTCCTTGCAATGATGTCTTTGCGGGTGTCATTGAGGATGTCTTTGTGGTTGTTTTGGTTGACGTGTTTGGGGTGTCTCTGCAAGGTGTCTTGATGTTGTTGGGGATGTCTTTGGTCTCTTGGGAAATGTCTTTCGGGAGTGTCTTCTGACGGTTGGGGAGATTTCTCTTCGCGGTTGTCTTGGGTGATGATGTCGCTGGACGGGGTCTGGAAGGGAAGTCTTCAAGGGAATCCTGTGTGTGTGTGTGTTTTTTAGAGGGGTTGTCTGTTGTTTTGTTTGATGTGTTTTTTTCGGGATGTCTGTGGAGATGTGTTTGTGTCAATGGGGGTGTCAGTGGCGGAATCTACGGGGTCGTCGCTGTCTTCGGGACATGTCTCGGAAGATGTCGGGGTGTCTCAGAAGATGACGGTTGGGGATTTCTGTGGTTCGTTGTGTCGTGCCTTTAAGGGTGGCTTTTGGGGGTGCCTTTGGAGATTTGTCTTTGCAACATGTCTTTGAACATATCTTCTGGGGATGTCTTCCACAATGTTTTTAAGATCGTCTTGGGGATGTCTTGGGGAGATGTCTTGGGGGCTGACTTTGGGGTTGTGTTGGGGCGCTTGCGGGGATGTCTTTCGATATGCTTTTGGTCATGTCTTTGGAAATGTCTTGTTCGTGAGGGGATCCTTAGGAATAATTTTGTGCAAGTCTTTTTTTTAAATGTTGTGTGGGTGTCTTTGGGAATGCTTCTGGAGTTGTATATGTCTGCATTCGGGTTCGTGGTTTCTATCAGGTTGGAACAACTGCCCAAAAACCGAGTCTTCGGAATCCACCACCACCGCCCAGAAGAACACAACAAACAACCATGTGCTGGGAACATCTGCAAGTTGGCTTTCATTTTGTGGTTCCGGGCCCGGGAAAACAAAACACCGGGTTTCCCACAACCATATTTTTGACTTTCGGGCCGGCAAAAAACCAGAATCTTGTCTGCCTGCCTCCGGATGCGAGCTCAAAACAGGGGGTCCAGCAGTTTGGCTCGCGCAAGGACCAGCGCCAGCATGGCCAGGCCGCGTTGGGTCGACAGTTTGTTGGGGAGCGAAGGAAGGCGTCAAAGGCTAGGGAATACTCCACCACACCCTTGGGTCAATTTCTTTAGGGAAACCAAACGGAGGTTGAGCGCCGGCTTAATGTTTCAGCAATAGGGTGGCCCAACCCAGGCAAAACCATCGTTTTTGGTTGTTCAGGGGAAATCAGCAGGGCATCACCCATGACAACGGGACATTTTTTAAGATTCCTTTGTCATGGTTTGGGAGATATACTAAATTACGCCGATTGAAATTGGCCACGCAGGCAGCGTCCTTTTTGGTTTCACTTTGGCTTTTGGCTGGTTTCTTTGTGATTTTCCTTTGGTATGCTGGTGAAGCCCATAGCAGGGCTTCCCAACTTTTGGCCGTGAGTTTCTGTTTGCGCGGCCGCCTCCCTGAGCGAGCGGCCTCAACCAAGGCTGGGCAAGTAGAACCAATTTTGGCAGGGAAGATGGTCCAAACTTACTTGTGGTTGTTTTGATTGTTTGCTCCCCTCAGGAATCAGGAACCCCTTTCTGTGAGCAACCCTGTTTTACTGGTGCGTATTCAGTGGTTGCACGGCCGTGTAACATACGGCTTGGTTTCAGAAGGCATTCCGAGAATGTCAGAAAAGCGCCATAGTCCTCCGGTCTTTCGATGCTTGCCTAGCACTGTTTTTGGATGTGCAAAGTCAGAGGGCTTTCCCTGTGGTTGCACCACACTGTACCTTGTGAAGTCAACTGCCACAGAGCAGCAACTATTGGGACCTGAAACTTGGGAGCTGCAGGGCGAGAGCAACAAGCATCATCAGGATTCCATGCAGATCAAAGGCGGCTTGTTTCTTCTTCTGGCTTCCCTTGGCACCACCCTGAAAAGAGGGCACCCTGCCCTCCACAACAAAAAGCACTTGGGGGGGGACCAAACTCTCGCGCCTCGCAGACTTGCAGGTCCGAGAGGCGTTCCCGGTGGATCCCCGGCAAGAGGCCATGCAGCAGAACGCCATCGCTGTCTTTGCCCGGCGTCCCAAACGGGAAGAGCCCCGAGGGTTGATACCCCTCGTGACTCGAGGCCAAACAATCACTCAACTTGTTGCCCGCCATCCAGCAATCTTTGTCTGTTTGCTCGTTCTTTTTCTTTTTTTGGTGCTGTGCAGTGTTGTTTTCTTCGTGGACTTGTCTGTATTTGTTTGTATCGGTTATTGTTTTGGTTCAAACACAGACCCCCGAAACAATATTTTGAACGGTACAACAACCATTGGGGGCTGGGATAGGCGGTGCCATCACCTTTGGGTTTCAAGCGAAGGAACAAACGAGCAAGCAAGCAAGCAAACGGTCAAACAAACCTGCCCCATTAACGTGGCATCTGACAGGGGCTCCCTTGAAGAGTACTTCCCACGCTGCCTTCTGTTACTGGTTCTCTCAGACATGGAAGCCATTTGGGCTCTCCAAATTGGAGGCCCAAAACAGGGGTTAGCCCATTTAACCCAACGGACAACCCCATGTAAGAGGATGGCTCGCACACTTTACCCCCTGCACCAATTTGTGTCGTGTCGTTTTGGTGAGACCAATAATTTTGCCCGTTGCTCATTTCCCGTTTCAGCTAGTGAACACAGCACCTTTTGCTTGCCAATCTGCGTTGGTGATTTTCAAAGTGGAAGATGGAACTCAACTGATTGGCTGCCTTTGGCTGCGCTTGAAACACAAGCCAAAAGGCCCAGAGAAAAGGGACTGATTTGTACATCGGTGGCTTTGCAGCGGGGGGCGGGGCAAGGTTCCAGGACCTTGGGTGGCAACAGAGTCTCAGTGTCCCTTTGACCCCCTTTGGTTTCATGAAGGGTCCATCTATGAGTGTAGAATTTCCAGGGCAAGAAGGATGCCTGGTTGCTTCGGGCCTCCCAAGGGTGACTGCCCTTCCCTATGGAGCAAGAATGATCTAGAGCCTGTGTTGGACGCCGCCGACGCGAAAGTAGTTCCCAACACCCTCTGGCTAGTTGAGCAACACAACTACATTCGCATGGCCGCGTGCTTACAACAGCGTGGAAGGCAGGGCATGTGTCTTCATGAAGGGCTACTCGCAAACCTTCAACCATTGTTTTGATTCCTGTGAATTCGGCCCACGATGCCACTGGCAGATGGAATGGAAGCCTTTGATTCCCTTCCAGAAGGCGAAAAGAGATGGTTGAATTTTGTCGACTTCATGGTGGATGGAGCCCCGTTTGACCTCTTCCACGTTTTATCTTTGGAAGCAGACGATCATGGCGCAGCAGTGGAGGAAACTCCAGATCCTCTTTAAGTAGCTCCCTGAAAGAGGCTCCCAAAATGTTCGAGACTCCGAAGAATACTTTTTTTCTACTACCTGGAGTCCAGAATCTGGCAAACAACTTCCGGACAAGCTTCGCTTGTACGCATTCAGAGAACTCGACAGAGGTATCAGACAGGTGGGCTCTGGGTAGACAGCGAAGCCGACGACCTGGCTGAACTTAGCCTGCTTGAGACGGTCATCCAGGCACTCAGTCTTGAGGGATTTATTTTTCTGGTTCCGCTTCCTCTGGCGGTTTCGTGATTACTGAAGCGCCATTTGTAAGCCGTCGCCCATTTGATACGTGTGGGGCAGGGAGTCATTCACCCTCACGCACTTTGGGTCTTGTCGGCTTCCTTTGGCATGAGCTTGCCTTGATTCGTGTTGCCCCTCTACGCCGCTGGACCAAGTTTTCAGCGCCCTCTTGAAGTTCCAAAACCCACTGTTTCTGCATTGGGCTTTGACCTGGAATTACACCGGAGTATTTCTCCCCAAGAAGCCAGGGATTCCCTCAATGCAGCACCACGAATATAAAACAATCAGGGGTTCTGCCGAATCAACTGGCTTCCCATGTTAAGTTGCTCATCACTGTTCAGCAATGCAACGTTCTCTTCATGAAGCAACCACATGCTAAATCCCATTGGCTTTCTCATTCTCAACCATGAACCTTCTAGTCAGCCAGGGTGTATTTGTCTTTGTCTTTTCTTGCGGGCACGCCTTCTTTTTTGTGGCATTAGTTGTGAACCGCAAGGAAACCACCGAAACCCTTCTGGGGCTTCTCTACCAGAAAGACGAGCCATCCATTTCTCATAGCAGCAAACAAGCCCTGAGATCTCGGAGCAGCTGGATGACCTTGCGAAGATCCACCTTCCCAAGGCCCGGCAATCCTCGGTCCTTTTAAGGGAGGGGTGATGCATTTTTTGAGCATGGGGCAAGATGACCCATTTTTTTAAGCAAGATAGAACCCGAAGCTTGGATTCCGATTTCTTCTCTACTTGCATTCCGGTTTCTTCTTCCGAAGTGGCAAAAGAACCACCATGGGCAGCTGGACTACGTTTGGCTAATTGCGGCACCCTGGGGGTTCCTTTTAAGGGACCTCTAGTGCTCTATGGCAACGGTGGGAGAGAACTGATGCTCGTAGTATGGTTATCATTGTTATCATGCTCATAGCTCAACCCATAGTCTCGGAAGGGCATATGCAAAGCTGGAGTTGGCTTGCAACGAGTTGCTAACCCGCCAACAGCTGGGATCAATTCCCCAAAGTTTGAGTCTATTGGCATTTCAGACACGCCACAGGCTATAGGCTTGCAAAGTAGCACCCACTCTTCAAAGCAGCGACGCACAGTTGCTGGCTCTCTTGGTAGCACACCTTTCCAGCCGGCGGAAACCACAGCCAAAGATTCGGGTTTTGATGTTTTGGAGAACTCAGTAGCATGACGGGAGTGTTCGTTGATTTGGCCGAGCACCAGACTTGACCTGATCGATTGTCAAATCCGGTTGATGGTTGCCATAAAAATGGGTCTGTCTCACCCCTCCAAGCAGGTGGTTTCCTTGTGGTTTCCCTTTAAACCAAGCTCAAAAAGGGTACCCTCAAAACAGGACACGCCCAAATGAGAAAATGGCCAATCCCAGTTTGATGCCCTTTAAGAGAAATCAAAACACCGAACCAGTAGATCCGGTCGCCCAAAAGCGGCCAGCAGAAAAAAACAACAGCGGTTGACAAAACCAAACCAGGGCCCCTTTGTTTGATAAACATCAAGTGGCAAAGCAAGAACGAAACCCACCGCTTGGGGCGTTCAACCCCCCTCCCCCTTTTAGGGACCCCAAACCTGCCTTCGGTACCCCAAAAGCCGCCCCTCCCACTTTTGCGAGGACTTGCTGGTGAGGCAGCCCAGGCGGAGCCACGTTTTGTGCGCCATGTTCGTTTTGGTGTTTTTTTTTTGTTAAGGGGGATCCCGGGCTTTGCGGTTTTCCGCAGGTTTTCCTGGAAAAACACAAACTAAAAGGTAGCCCAACATATCTGGTATCGGTGCTGTATGTTGCCACGAACCACATCGTTTGTACTCAGCAAACAGGAGATTTCCATACACCAGCCAGTTAGGATGTTGTGGGGTGCTTTTGAACCTCACTTCACTGTCAAAGGTTCTGTGTAGTTACTGTAGTAAACATCTTTGTCTCCCATTTATGACGGAGGTGAGCGATTGCACCGATCCGTTGCATTACCATCCGGGATCTCTCGCGACAGGCCCTGGCGCAAGGGCGGCTGGGCGGCGCTGCGGGATGGCCCTGTGAGGACTGACGGGCCCCGGGGCGTGGCACCGCGGCACCGTGGCACCGTGGCACCGTGGCACCGCGGGGAGGGGTCCATTTTGGGCGCTCTTTTTGGGGTGAGCTGAAGGGGAAACCAAAGAAACGTCACTTTTTGTTGGTCCCCTACTTGAGACAAACCCAAAGGGCGATGTTAGTAGGTGGTTTGGTTTAATTGGGATACCAAGGCCGATGCAACACCCATATAATCATAGTAGAACCACATCAATGGGTTTTGAGTCAAATGACTCAGGATAAATGACTGTGTTCAGAACACCCTTTGCACTATTTCCGCGCGCCGCAAGGTAAGCGTATGTATGGCATTTTCACAGTGCCCACTGATGATTTGGTGGCTTGGGTTGAGGGGGCATGGTGGTTGGGAGCAAAACCAAACAGTGGAAATCAAGTGGAACCCAGTTTCCAAGTGGGAAGGTTTCAGCAATGGGATGCGCCAAGCAGTTGTTTGGAATCGCCCCGCAACAAACAAGGCATTTCGGGGCTGATCTGCTTTGGGGTCATGTTGGGCGAGACTCTTGCGTTGCCCCCAGACACATGGGCACGGCATGTCTCCACGCAAGAAGTTGCGCACCTTGTGGCAGTTTCCAAAACTATCATGAAACCCCTTGACAAAAAGCGTGACAGTAATTGCGCTCACATGAGACATAACAGAGTTCTTCAAGAGCTTGTTAACCAAGCCCAGCCGACTCTGCTTGGAGCAAACATTCTTCCAGCCGCCAGAGTCAAATACCTCTGTTCCTCGCGTTGCAAGCAGCCTAGCATGATTTGGACATGGCAGGGGACAGATCTTGCAGATTCCCTTGGAACAAAATGCTCCGTTGCTTCTGGGCTGATTATTGTGACTGTTTCTGGCACTTATCAAAGTCAGAAATTGGGGTGTTTTCCCTTTAACCGACCACTTAGGGAGTTGACTTTGATGGGGTGAAATAATGGGGGCCAGTTCTTTTTCCCAGGTGAAGGCATCTTTCCTATATCAAAACCTTGTGGATCTCGATCGGGTGTGGTTTCCCAAATCCGGATCCCCATGGACACAATCACTCGAAGAAACCGCTTCCAGGAATTTCGCCAGGACAATACCAAGAAGCCCCACACGAACGAGGGGTTTGGGCTAAGTTCCTAGTCCCGGAGCTGGTTTCTCAGAATCAACTGGGTCAGCAACCCACCCCAACCCCAAACCTGCTCCATCCAGGAACGGCTTGATCCTGCGCGTGTTGGACAAGTTCTGCGTGCGGGGGCCCAGCGCTCTGGGCACTTGTGATTTGGGCGCTTTGGGCACTCCGTTGGAGATCATTCTGACTTGAACCCCCCCCCCCCCGCGCAGAAAAACAAAATCAATACGGTCATGTCCTTTGTACATGCGGGAACCACCCCTTTGATTGTTCCGAAGTTGACATTTGCTGAGGAGATGCGCTTCTACGGCTCAGTGGACGAGCGCGTCGCGCGGTCCCTGCTGCGGCCCGTCCACTTGTGGCGCGCCGGGGAGGCGGGGAAAAAGGGAGTGGGTCAGTCGTTTGAGTTGGTACCCCCCCAGAAGGCAAACATGGGGGTGTCTTTGTTTGGGGGCACCCTTGTTTGGGGGTTTCAAATTGAAACTACAAGGACAACCCACCCTTTTTAGGGGGTTCCCTAAAAACACAGCTCAGGGAACCTCAAGAGAGGCCCCTGGTTCCTTGGAAGGGTATCCTTTTGGTTGGGGCAAGGTACACTGGTAAATACACCCAGCTTTGGATGTGTTAACCAATGGTGTGATTTCCTATTGGATCCCCTTGATGGCGAGGGTTACCTCGCGTGGGAAAATCCTTGACAATCGTGTGTGTGTGTGTGTGTGTACGTCTTTCTTTGAGGGTACCCCTTTGACAAGAAACACAAGAAAGCCCAGCAATTTTGAGGGTCTGATTCCGATTTTGAGACGAACCCATGGCAGTGACCTTTCCGCAGAGGGTGGTTTTGACCTTGACGTCTTCGGAGCGGTCTCCCCGATTCCGGAGAGCAAGTAAACTCACTCCCTGAGTTCCTGGACTTACGCTTTGGGAAGACCATTTTAATGGTACATACAAATTTTGAACTTGCTTTGGACAATCCGCTCAGGAAGGGAGCAAGCCAACGTCAATAAGAGCAATACAGCTTGTTCAACATGGACGTCGATCCCTGATTCATAACCCCCCCCAGTTATTCATCAAGGATTTTTCCCCCTTTTTTGGTAGGGATGCCTTTCTTCCAAGGCCCTTTTGATGAATAACTTGGGGGGGGGGTTATTCATCGGGGGTCAACTTTAGAGTCATAGGGATTGCCCATGATCGCCTCGCAGAAACACACTACTTTCCACAGCCATGCGGGGAGTCAAACCTTGATTTGGCACTCCCGACTCCTGTTTCAAGCAGGCAAGAAAAACACAAGCCAAGGGTAAGTTACAGGGTTGCCATTTCTTCATTTTCTTGCAACATATTGGAGCCAAACGTAAGCAGCAGGTATATTTGAACAAGTCATTCCCATCACGCCAGAATCACCGGCATGCGGCCTAGAACTCCAAGAGCCCCTCCTACGGCCTTTTGGAGGTGTTGTTTATTTTGGCAATCGTAGAGACGTCAGGCAATAGACTTGGTTATGTTGAGCCTAACGAAGTTCAAGAAACCAATCAAGAGGCCGGCTGAAATGCGCATCAGCCTGATGTTTTAGGAGGAGATGTGGGGAGGCTCGGACTAATGATGACGTGTATGTGCCGGAGGAGTACAATCTTGAACTCGAGACCCCGGCCATTTTTAGGGGGTCCAATTCCTAGTTTTTCAGGCACTCATCATGTATATCTCACCGCAAACATGCAGTACCAGAAATGCTCAACCTTCTTGTTCGTTGTTCAACCTTCTTGTTCGTTGTTGTGCCTTTCTTCTTGCTGGGTTGGCCATTACCCTCTCGATGAAAAAAGACAACCAATGCTTACGGGTTACATGAGTCACAATCAAAAACCATGTTTTAAAGTGCAAGAGGGTGGAACTCATTTCTGTCTGGGACTGGCCCCTGGATTTGATTGTGGCTCGCATCCACTTTTGGAGAGATCCGTGTGCCTTGCACGGGCTGCACAGGCTGTGGAGTGGCAAGAGGATGATGGCGGCTTGGATGAAGGGGGGGGACTCCTACAACCTCTTTTGTTATAACCCCTTTACAACCAATTCATAGCCCCTTGATGGACTACTTGTGACTCACTCTCGGGGTTCCTGGAGTTGATTCTTTTCGGGTCTGACACATTTTGGTAGCAAACAGAGACTTTTCTTCTTTTTTGGGCCACCCTACTCAGGAAGTGAGACAAACCCTCTATTTCAGTCAAACATGCTCCCAGCCTTCTTAGCATTATTCACCCCTAGCGTTTGGGGGATGGTGTGTAGAGCAATGAAAGTGGTTCGCCCCCATGTGGTTGGGCCCGAGTTATTACCACCCGAGTGTGGGCTCCCAGCTCGAAACACAATAAAGACTGGACCCTTGCAATCTCACGGGTTTGGCTCGAGTTTGGCTCTCTTGGGTGCTTGGTGTACGGAACTTGAACAAGTTGGGGGGGGTTGCATCCGCGAACAGAGTCTTTCAGCCCCAGTCGCAATTAGCGACTCAGAGCATCTTGCCAAGCGAATAAAAGGTATCATGCATGCACTCCAAGTGCCTTGTGGCTCGCGGAAAGGACAGGCAGAGACTTCAGAAGCACAAAGACCTCACCAAGAGGAAGACATCCAAGCGGAAGACGCCATGTTGGTGTGTCTTGTGGCTTTTCAAAAATGGGGGTATCCTCATGAGACGCACCCGTGTGATTCCTCGCACTGCCCCAAGTGCCACGAAGATGCGCGGATTTCGCTTGCAACATGACTGGCCGCACCTGCCCCTCTTCCCCTTCTCCCACCCCCACATCCGCCCGGAGGGTTCAATCCGAAGCCTTCGATCAGAATCCCTTCTAAGATTCGTTCTGATCCCCTTGGTTTCCTGCTGTGGATGGAGAAGATCTATTTACTTTGCAGCAGTCGCGACGGATGAACCCCTCCACGCACCAGTACGTGGTTTATCAACCAACATTTGGAGGCTTTCCTCCATGCTTGCAGGATTTTGTCCACTTGGTTGTCCAAAAAAACATCCACAGGGAGTGCGGGCGCTTTGGCCCACAACCAGGCAGCTGGGTGCCTGGCACGGTGTCGGCCAGTGTGGGCAAGGTGGATCCCAAGGAGCGGTCTTGCTTTGGGTCTCCAGCTAATTCGCTGCTCCTTTTGTTGGGGGAGGTCGTGTTTTTCTTCTCCCCGGTTTGTCCAAGCACCGAGATTTTAGTAGCAGGTTGAAAGGGCCTGAATGATTACAAAGATCACTTCCTGTGGCTACTCCCCTGCAATGTAATCAACATGCAACCCAAGATTCCTCACACTCCACATCATTGTTATTTTGCTACTAAGACCCGCTGAGCTGGTCCCCACTGTTGCGCTTTGCACTTGGATTGACACAATCGCAAAATCCTGTTTGGGTGTGTGTTGTTGAAGGTAATTTTTAGAAGTGGCTTCAAAGGAGAACCACCACGTTGGGGGGATCCCGCAGTTCCCCTATTTTGAGACATCATTTGCGCGGTCCAGACCACCCCTTTGGTGGAGCGACATGTTTGAGGAGCGCAGAGCGGCAAGTTTGCAAATGCTGAACCGGGGAACCTGTAATTCAACGGTCGTGTAAGTGCTCATGCGCCTGTCAAATAATTGGCTGGTACAGCCAATATGCATGTCCACTTGGGAGTAAGCCGGACCATGCATGCCAGAGAAATCCTTTCGAAATGGGCCTTTTCCCGAAATCAGAGAGAAACGGTCACTGGAGCCGCCATCGCAAATGGGAGTTTTGGACCCTCTTTTGGTTGAACACCATGTTAGGCCCGCACATAAGACTATCTTTTTTCGACAGTACCAAAGCAAAACCGCCGCTTTTCAGGGTCCCCTATTTTAAAGGGGGGCTTGTCAAGAACATGGCCGGTCCCTTTGCCCGTTTCGGTGCTGCCCGTCCAGAGAACTCAACGGAGCCCAAGTGGAGCCCTTGCCAACCAGAGAGAGACCTTCGAGCGCAGGGTGAAGTTTCGGAACTCTGGCTCCCATTGAGAAAGGGTGGAGGCGTGGATAGTTGGCTTGTGGGCAAATGAGGGGCCGTTTGAATCTGGAGTCCAGCGATTTGCAGTCTGGAAGAGTTTGAAACATTGGAGACATGGCTTGACGCAGGGACTTAAGAATCGAAGGTTGGGCATTCATAGTATGAAATACGAATTGAGGGTTTGAAGCGAGGGCGGAGCGCTTGTGGTTAGGACACCTAAATACACACATTGAACAGGAAGGCTTCAGGGGTTGCCAACCGCTCGCGGATTTCTCCCCAGCCATCTATGTGGCTTCTGTTTTTCGAGGAAGGGTTTTGCAATACAATGCAACACCGACGTCATATGTGAAATCCAGCATATGCTGTTTTCAACACTTCCCAAGTTGGGTTGCCGACACAGGTTTTTGAGGGGTACCCTTTCCAGGTCGGTTTATGTAAAGGGAAGCCAAGAGGATCGCCGCCATGTTTGGGGTCCAAATCGGAGGAGCTGGGCGAGCTGCCAGTGGCGGTTTCGGGCGACCGCTCGGTGCCCTTTGCCAAGATCCGGCGCAGGGGCGCCCAGCCGGAGCCGATGAGCTGATGAGCCGATGGATGGTACTTGAAGAGGTGGTTCTACCTAGTTACTACCTGGCTTCATTGGGGCAGAGGCGTTTTTTTTGAATCTTGAAACCCTGCTTGGCAAAAGCAACATGGCGCAAAAAGCGCGCTAAAAGCGCTTTTGAGTCCGAAATCCAATTGTTCAGTGGCACCCTTGCTCCTATTTTGTTTGATGGGTTCGGAACCACCCAAAATTGTCAACCCAAGCAAAGTGCCCTAGTAGGGGCACTGAACAACTGGGTGGATGGTCCTTGACTTGAATGCTATCTGTATACTGTTGACCCGGGATGAAGCAGAACCCCCTGGTCGATTTCTTGGGTGTTTTCCAATAGTGGGATTATTTGATCTAGCGAGCTCACCGATCCGGGTGTAAGCCAAGCTCATCATGACATCCTTGTTTGAGGTTTTGGAATTGCTGTAGAACTTGTAGTTGAATGCAATTTGGTTGCATCTTTAAACCTTGAGCTTTTGGGACGATCCCTCAGATTAATAAACCCCATAGGGTCTGTGTGTGTGTGTGTGTGTGTGTGTGTGTGTGAAGCGTCCTGGAGCACGGACGGAAATTCCACATTGCAGGGGGACTGGAGCCGATTTGCCTATCCAGTCCAATGAAGCTACGGCATTTCGGTGGATACCGGATCTGATCAATCCGGCGTACCTGCCTATTTCCTGACCCTCTTTCCTGATTCTTTTTGCGGTTTCTGTTTGTCGCTGTTGCTTCCTGTTCGGTGTCGATGTTGTGACCTGTTGATTTGCATTTGCATTCAAGCATTTTTACTGACTGCGTTTTGCATCTCGGCTAGTGAAGCCTCTCGAGATAAGTGTGTTTACCCACGGCCTGTCCGACATGGCGCTGTGGGCTGGACTCGCCATATGCGGGAGCCCCCTGCGAGGGGAAGACGTTCAAGTTCAAGCTGCAGTTCAGTTCAGCGCGTTTGACCACGATCAAGGCTGCAGCTTGAGGTCTTAAGGTATTCCGCACCCAAATGGTGCTCTGCTGGTTTCATGCGCCTGCACTGCCTGCACTGCCTGCCTTTGAAGCAAGGCTGCACCCACGAGGTTTCAGGCTCCTAAGCTTCATGCGCCAGTGACGAGTTGGTCATACACCAACTCTGCAATTCGTGGCGTTTATGGAAGCTTTCGTCTCGGATGAGTTCAGTTCAGATTCATGAGTTCAGTTCAGATTCATCGGCATAGCCACATGAGGCACTTTCATGAGGCCACTTGACAGGCACCTCTGAGAACCCCTTTGTGCTCGCATGCATTTGCACCATTGACGCATTTTTGCTCGCATGCATTTGCACCATTTGCGTCCCTCGAAATTCTTTTGCTGTTGCCGCGGGGTTTCTTGCGGTCCCCTGGTGGAATTCCCTCTGCTTGGTTTTGTGTGCTCGGGTTTGTCGTCTTTGAAAATTTTTTGCCGTTGCCGCGGGTTTTTGGCGGTCCCCTGGTGGAATTCCCTCTGTGTGGTTTGTGTTCGCGGTTGTGGGGTTCGGTGTTGTGTCGGCTTGACGCATTTTTGCCGCAGTTGTGGTTTTGTTTCACCCCTTTCCAACCTTCTCTCTCCCTTGCGAGATGGCTGGACACCAGCTCTATGACATGATGCATTCGCTCCTGCACAGCATTGCGACCGGCACCGCGTCCGGCTCACCAGGCAATTGTGGACCGAACTTGCAGCTGTCATCCCAGATGACGCAGCCCATGAACCTTGTACCGTCACCCAACTCGCAGACGGCATCCTTCACACCTTTCCCCATGATGCCCTACGGCGGCCTCTCGAACTTTGGCAACCCGATGGCCATGATGCCCTACGGTGGCCCTCCCAATTACGGCAACTTGGCACCTGGCACCATCATGCCTTTCATGACTCAGAGCAGCATGCCATCTTCACTGCCCGAGCCTCAGCCGGCGCGCGCGCCCGAAGCTGCCGCTGCGGCTCCTGCCGCTACCTCCTCAACCAACCACCCTCCCCCGGACACTCGGCACCATCCCCACTCTCGCAGATCCCGTTCCCGCCACAGACAGCACCGACACTCCCACTCCCACACCAGCCACCATCGCTGGCACAACAAGTCGCACCGACGACACGACACCCGACGATCCCGCAGCTACAGCAGGTCACGTTCCCTTTCCCGACACTTCCACCACTCCCGACGTGCACACCACTCCACTGTCTCCCTCCGCTCCCGCTCCCCCCGACACAGGTCCCACCATCGACACTCCCCTGCACCCAGAGCCACGACTTCGCACCGACCCACTCACACTACTCATGATTCCACCTCCTGGCGCACTTCCGGGAAGGATTCCAACAAGTCTCAATGGTCCTCCTCACACTGGCGGAACCAATCGTGGGGATACCCACCACAGAACAAAAACCGCTGGGACATGCACCACCATGGCGCCAGCCACACCGGCCACCGAAACAACCAGGACAAACGATCGTCCTGGTCACTGCAGCACCATGGGCAGCAACCCCACCCCACTTCCCGCACCGGCCACCACAACACTAGCTTGCCCCCTCACCCAGCACCTGCGGCGGCCTTCACTTCCACTCCCCCTCCCCCTCCCCGACCCACGCCGGCTACTCCTCACCCTCCCCAACCCCCCTTCGACAACACCGGTGATTTGGATCCCCCTCCATCGGAGGCGGACATCAATGCCACCACCACTTCCGACAACCGGTGGCTTGATCTATGGAGAAACGTCATGGACACGGCCAAGACTGACCCGCTGCGAGTTCCCACGCCTAGGGAGTTGGGGGAGCTGGACCCGCTTCCAGCCTTGGACATCTCCAGGGTGGAACAGACTAAGGCCATTTTGATGGACCTGGACCCTGCTTTGCCACCTTCACATGCCGATCTCCTCGCGGAATGCTGGGAACTGCGAACCATGGACACGGATGATCCCATACCGTTCGATCCCAGCTTCTACCACCTCTTGGGACGGGAATCACACGGCATGGTGTTCGCAACCACTTGGTTTCCCCGACCTCATCCTTGGCCAGTTGCTGGCGGAGACCCGGAAGCTGGATCCGGCACGGCCTCCCATCACGCTGTCATGTATGTGCACGGCACCACCCCGGATCGAGTGCGCCGCATGTGCCATGAGAACATGATCCGACCCGCTGCTTGGAGGCCCGAGAACCATGACTACCCGAGCTTTGGATGCTACGCTCAGGCCACCCCCACGGCATGCACGCCCGACACGCTCGGCCAGCTCTTGCAGAACTTTACAATCGGAAAGTCTCAACTCGGCGCCATCGCTTTTGGGGAACTACGCTCCATCAATCAGCACAAAATCCTCGAATCCGGGGGAAGCCACGAGGATCAACACAACGTGCGGCGCCACTTCGCATGCCGCCGAGGCAAAAAGTGGTGCCTTCACTCCAAGTTTGCGATGCTGAGAGGCATCGCGCTGCAGCGCCCGGCTTAGCGGGGCGCAAGTGTACCATCTTCCACCCAACCAGGAAAAGAATTGGTGCACTGTTTGATCGCCTTTTTTCTTTGCTTTGCTGTTCTGCCTTTCCGCGACCGTTCTCTCACCTTGTGACCTTACCCGCTTGATTCCGCTCACCAGCTTGTGGTTCGAACATTTCCTTTTCCCCCGTGTTTTCTCATGGCTTTCCAACCCCCTCGAGGTTTGGTTACGGCGCTCCAAAGGCAAAACTTACCACCGCAGCCTTCGCCCACGGCATCCCATCATCATGGCATCGTGTACGGCAACAACATGGCCGGGAACCCGTGCGGGGCCCTGTCCGGGCCTTCCTACGGATGCTCTTCCACGGCATCGGCACCGCCAGCTACACATCCGACTCCCTGTCAGACCTACGGCCAACCTATTCCCCGTTACCCACCACACCCCGGCCCTCGTCCACCCTCCTTTGGCGGCTCTCTCCCCCCCCCTCCCGGCGGCACCCCGACCCCTCCCCCCCTCCCCTCCCCACCCACTTGGAAGGAGCCCCGCGACTTGCTCCAACCACCTCCCCACGTTTGCCAATGGCTCACCAGCAACTTCCCACCCGACATTTCCGACACCAAAGTCCAGCGATGGATCACCTCTCAGAAAACCAGCAAAGAGAGCAAGCAAGTCCTAAAAAGCTGGTCCAACGACTGCGCAAAATGGGCAACCACACTGGACTCCGACACCAGAGCCCAACTCGAACGAGCCGCTGTGTTATGGGGCATCCCGGTGCGAACCCTATCAAAACTGGGGTCATCGGCCTTGGGCCGCATCCTGGCCGCTGCGAGTCACTTCTACCAGTGACTCTCAACAGCACACCGACAACGACGCACAGCCAGGCAGCACAAATTTTGGCAACACCACTGCTGCCAACTTCTCACTGTCCTCCGTTTCACTCTTCGGTTCTTCCCAACCGATGACGTCACCGCACGTCATTCTTGCTCCTGGCTACTCGCACAGCTTCAGCTACTTGACGTCTGCCATCTCTCCTGTGGTTCCGGCAGACTGAAAGCCCTGCTTACTCGACTTGGCCTGGACAACCCTGCTTCCGATTTCTCTTCTCAGCTTGTCCCTTCAGCGGTTTATCTGAGATTCACCAGCCATCCAAAGTGGCAGGCCTTTTTCTACCTCGGAGCCACTCGCGCCTCCCTCATGGCACGGGGCCGCAGCCAACTTCGCAAACTACTCCAAGTTCAGCGACATCATCTGGTCAATGCCGAACTGGCAGTCCGGTGGTGGGCACATTTTGACTTTTTCCACCACTACACCTCGGTGCCCATTCACACTGTCGTTCCGGCAACGGACCTATTTGCCACTGAACAGTTCTACATCCAGGAACTGCAACCGTCTCTCAATTTTGGCTTCATCGAGAAACATTTCCGGCCACGCACGGGCTTCATACGCCAATTGGACTTCTCCCAATCCCGGCACATGGGCTTCGCCACCATCTGGCGAAAACGCCGCCGACTACGACTACCCATCGCCCTACAACAGGCCTTCCTGGCCAAACGCGTGGACAACCACCTGGATTTGTGGCGATTTTCGGGCGATCTTGGCAGCAACACTCTACGACGATTTGATGCCATCCGTTACATACGGAGCAGAGACTTCCCACCCGCCGCTCTCTATGTCCTTCATCGCATAGCCACACACCTGCCTGAACCACACCACCAGGCATGCCTTTCCGCCATTCGATCCAGTTTACAATTCCGGGGCCTCATTCCACCTGGCCCCTCCAGACCGATGCTTGCACACTTCCTCGCCTGGCGACTACTGCTAACCTGGTACCGACAACGACAACCACACTCCTCTACCACACACCTCACAGTGGACACACTTGACACCTCTGCCATCACCCGCGTCTACAACGGACGCCGTCGCCGACACAAACCCACACAACGCACCCTGTGGCTCGACGACATCCCCGAGATCATTCAGGCCACCCTTGACATGCAGATCTTCTCTGTCGGCCTTCGTTCATTCAGGCAAACACGTGGGGCACCGATGGGATCCCCCGCGTCCCCAGCTCTCTGTTTGATGGTGATCGCGGTCGCCGAACAATGTTGGACCAACACTCACATCACATCGGGACTTCGCTCCGTTGAAGATACTCTCCTACTCCGCTACGTGGACAACAGACTCGTGATCGCAACCCCCAGGTGGCTCTCGACTCCGGCAGCCAACATACTGTGCGACGAACACTTCTATGGAGGAGACATCTTCCTGGACACAGAAGCCGCCCTGGACTTCTTGGGGTTCCGACTGAACCTCACAAGCAGCACCATCTCCTTCATCCCCTCGCATGAGAAGCACAACATGCTCTCCGTCAAGTCAGCCGCACCACTGATGCATAAGGAATCTGGATGTTATTCCGGACGCACGCTGATCAACCGAGTTTCCTTTCCTGAGTTTCAGCGAGGTCAGGGTCTTGCAATGTTGAAGAGGTTGCACCTCCAACACGGTTTCACCTTACAAAGAGAAGAAAAACCGTCCTTTGCGGAACCACACTGGTTTTCTTCTCTGCCTTTGCATCCTGACAGATTTGACCTGATTTTCGCGCCGCAGCTGTTTGACTGTTTGACCAAGAATCCGTTACGAGCATGGATACCAACGCAGCACGCCAGCTGCTCCAAGACTTCGAACTCATCCTTGGCATTGCCCAACAAGGCATCGCCACCATCTGCGAGTTCCCTGAGAGTCCGCCTGCCGAACCTGATTTGGCACCGGAGGCCACGCTCAACCCTGCCATTGAGGACCTCTTTGAGCCACCTCCTGATGCTCCAGATGAACACCTTCCCACTGATCATGACGAACAATTCCCTGATCATTGGGCTCCGCCCACCCCTCCTCCGTCTTCTCCCGGCGAAAAACGAGCTCGCCGCGCACGTGATTTGGCCTCCTCACGATCTACGGCATCCAAAACCTGCTCGTGGACCAAGCGAAGCTACCACATCGACCAGGACTGATGCCTCTACTGAGGCCGAACCTGAAGCCTCGCAGCCTTGGACTGAGGGAGAGATTGAACTCCTCCGTTCCCTTAAGACCAATTCCAAAGCCAAGTATGTGTGGTCAGTCATCGCCACAAGACTTTCTCGCACAATTGATGCTTGCAAGACTCAATGGGCCTTGCACAAGTGATGTCGCCCCAGTTGGGGCTCCGTGTGTGTGAAGCGTCCTGGAGCACGGACGGAAATTCCACATTGCAGGGGGACTGGAGCCGATTTGCCTATCCAGTCCAATGAAGCTACGGCATTTCGGTGGATACCGGATCTGATCAATCCGGCGTACCTGCCTATTTCCTGACCCTCTTTCCTGATTCTTTTTGCGGTTTCTGTTTGTCGCTGTTGCTTCCTGTTCGGTGTCGATGTTGTGACCTGTTGATTTGCATTTGCATTCAAGCATTTTTACTGACTGCGTTCTGCATCTCGGCTAGTGAAGCCTCTCGAGATAAGTGTGTGTGTGCCCGTTTTTGTGGCGGAGTTCATCACTTTTGGAGGGACCCCCCCTTTCTGGTAGGATGGGTTTTCAATCCGAGGTCAGCATTACGCAATTGTTCATGCGCCAGCAAACAGTCACACACACACACACACACTGTGTGTGGAGTCATCAGCCATCAAGCACAAGGGCCCCTAGGCAAATTTGGGTGTGTGCGCAGTTTTCTCAGGGTACCCTTGTGATGATGTAAGACAAAATTGGTATCTATAGCAACCATACTAGACAGTGCTGGTAGTGCATTTGTTTGGGTTTCTGGTGGGGTGAAATGCGGCGTTGCTCATAATTCCTCTACAAAGTCTTTTTTTCTCCCAATTCTGATGCGCAGGAGAGTGATTTCCCCTTGCGGGGGGAGCTGCATCAGTTCTTGCAGCTTGTGCCAACTGTTTGCTCACTTCCCATGTACCCTCTGCAAGAACCAGGGGTTCAAATCCAAATCCAAGCCGCCAATCCAAACCACCAACTAGCGCTGAGCAGCCCTTTGGCTTGCGCGCTCAGGCAGAGACGTTGCGGTGAAGCAGGAGAAGCAGGACACCCAAGAGAAAAAGGAGCGGATGCAAATCGCTTCTCTGGTTGACGCAAAGTGAAGTGTGTGAACAAAAGCAATTGCTTTCCGGGTGAATCATCTCGCAATAAATGCGCTGTGTAGTATATTTGTAGATACGACTACATATTGACAAGTATGTAATAGGTGTAATCAGAGGGCTCGACTGCTCGACGTGTGCTGGCTGTCATGTGTGTAGATGAAGGGTAGGAATGGAGAGCCCCAACTCAAAAAATAGATGCGACCACCCTTTGTTGTTCTTTACCTTATGGGTAGACCTTGTTGCTTCCAGGTTTTGATTATGACTCATGTGTGCACTCTCCGAGGTGGTAGTGGTCACGGATATTCCCCGCCCCCGCCCCCACAGCTGAAGCGATGGGGTCTCAGCCCAGATAGGCTCCGCGTGGTCCAGGGCTGCTTGAGCTAAAGTTCCGCGAGCTCTGCGAGCATCTGCAAAACCCCTACGGTGCTGTTGGGGATCCTCCTTTCTTTGTTCTTCTTCTTTTCTTTTCTCGGGTTCCAGATAGCAATCATAGAGATTCGCATAAAGGACGCCAAGAGAGTGAGTGGCTTGCAATAATCAGGCACATGTAGCCCTGAGGAAATCCGGGAAGTTCTTGGGAATGTCACCTCGAAGGCCCACAAAACGAAACTGGCAGGCTGGCTGATGCAGCGCACCCGACAGGAGAATTCATTGGGCCGCATAAGCTGGAAGGGCTCAACCACTGGGGTTGGTGGCCGACGTATACAGCGGTAGGATGTGTATTTGAGCGGCCTGTTTGTTTGTTTGTTTGTTTGTTTGTTTGTTTGTTTGTTTGTTTGTTTCTTTGTTTGCTTGCTTGCTTGCTTGCTTGCTTGCTTCTTGCTTGGTTTGGTTTGGGACTTCTCCAAAATGCTGTTTTTGTTTTGGTTCTCCTTTAAACGCACCAAGCAAAGAGGTTGCCTCAAAAAAAAGGACATGGCTCGTTGGTTTCGGGTATCAATCTCAAACCCGCGGCGTCCCCTGCAAAACCGTGCGGAAGGAGCCCAAGGCGATGGACGTCATCGACGTGGGCTGAGAAAAAAGGAAAAGGGGCAAAGCCCATCGGAGTCCGACAGTCCAAGGGGAAGGAAGTCATCTTGGCCCTGGCTCAGGAGGAAGCTCCTCTTTTTGTTCTTCTTTTTGCGCTGCTTTGGAGGAAGGTGTGCCAAACACCAAGTCCCCAAATGTCCCCCAGCAGGTTCTCAATAAAGAGAATCCACGATGGTTCTGCGTGGCTGCAACTCCAAAACTGGCATTCAGCGGTTTCCAAACATGCTGGAAGGTGCAGGAGTTTGGCTGGCTGTCATTGCTTGATCCTCATTCCGTATGCTTTGTCCATTTGTTTAGCACGATGTATCACACAAGTGTATAAATCCAGTTCGATTTACTCTGAACAAGCAACATCAGTACCAAAAGGAACACACTCACACACATATCAGGAAGAATGCAAACTTGGGGGCAATCAATAAGAGAGACGTTCTCCGATTCGCTGTGCGACTTTCTCCGAAGATCTCATGGTTTTGGTAGAAGTTGAGTGCCCCCACTCGCTGTTGACACTGCACTCAAGGATTTTCTGGTCGTCTTGCGAGAGGGTGTGTTTGGGTTGGGGGGGGGGGCAAGGGTGTGTGTGTGTGTGTGTGTGTGTGTGTGTGTGAGCGTGTGTCTGTGTGGCTTGCCCTTTTCTGGGGGCAACGGTTATCATATCTCATTGCAAACGTGCGGCGTTTCGGATGGGGGGTCGTCACACGGTTGTCGTTGTTTCCTTTGCTTGCTGCAGAGTCCTGCCATTGACTAGCGAGGGCATCAGAAAGAGCTGGGTATCAGCGACTTGTGGCCTTCTGCGGGCCGTACATGCAGCGAGCGAGCTGCCATTGCCGAGCTCACACTGAAATGGGTGTGTGTTTTGTGTGTTTGTTTTTGCAGGTGCCCTTTTCAGGTTGGTTTGCAGCGAAGCCAAACGGACAGCCACCATTTTGGAGGTCTTATTTTGACGCATGCCCAAATACTGATTTTCTCGTTGGAGCTATGCACTGCAACCACTTTGTGATCGCAGTGTGCAATTGCGCCGCAATTTGGATCACAGCCTGCTTGTGCCATTCGCGGAAACCCACGTGAACGACTCTGCAATTCGAACTGGGGAGAATATGGCTGTGGCTCAAAAACCGGTACCAAAATGGAACCCTGGTAAGTGGAAACATGGACCAAAACCTGCGTAACCCCTCCTGTGTAATTGTGAGCCACACCCATATGGGTGTCTCTTTTGCATCCAAGGTGCGCACACTCGTGAGATGTTCTCAATTGGAAGCTGCACTCGCCAATTGCAAACCTACGAGCTCACGGGACAAACCGTGGATATCAAAAGCCTACTTCGGCCTACTTCCTGATACCTGACTGATTCTCAAATTTGGAAACAGGGATAGTGTCATTGCCAAAGAGGAGTCTAAATGCTCTCGGAGAAACGCGTTCTTTGCGAGTCCATGTGCATCTTAAGTATGCTGCACATGTGGATGTACAGTGCCCGGTTTGTCAAGTTCACCCGATCACCCTTTTCATTCCTTCTGCCAAAGGGTGGCAAGTTTCGCGGGCACGTGCCAAAGCCTAGACCCCATCGTCTCGTGAAGCAGGCTAGCATTGACGCCGGCAAGAGCAAAGTTCTAGGTCAGCCTGAGCTGCATTCTGATGCGGACCACGTGCGCGCACGCGCCTGAGTCTTTGCCCGCCGAATGGAGCCAAGCGCATTGTTGCGTGTGACCATGGGCTGCTCGCCTTTGCGTGCAACTGCTGTTCGTGTTTGCTGGAGCTTGTGGTAGCACAATGGCGGGAATCTAGTGTCTGTTGTGGAGTTGCCTGGATTGCATTCCATGTGTTTGGTGTTTTTGACAAACCACACTTCTTGGGCCAAATCCAACACGGCTAATTACACAAGTGCCTGAATCTTACCCAGCGAAAGTGAGCATTCGAGCACATCGTTGCCCGTGTCTACACATCGTTGCGCGTGTCCACGTGCTGCTCGCTTTTGAGAGCAAATGCTGTCCAACTGGTCGCAATGACTCAGCAGACGCATTTGAGCCCCAGCTTTTTCTCCAGTCCTTTGCGGGATTTTTAAGTCTGTCCGTTGCTTTCTTATGCATCATTTGCGGGAGCAATGCTCTGTTTTCTTGAGTGTTTTGAATCTTGTGGGTGTAGGCAGACGGCAAGTTTGGGACTTGTGGGAGTTTTCGTTAAATATGAGCTGGCCATGGGCCAGAAATGAAGAATGCACATTTAGCTGAGTTCCGCCTGGAAAAAAGAGATGGATATTGCAAAACAGGTCCTTTCGAATTACTGGTAGTGAAAGCAGTCAGAAACATGCTGACTTGGGCGCCCCTGCGCGCAAAAGTTTGCCCACGGGCATTGCGGCGCAATTAGGCGAGGCCAACGTGTGGGCGTGAGGACTGTGCGGCTTAGGCTTTTCCGTGGCGCGGGGAAGCCGATGTCACTACTGCTGCGGATGGTGGCACCATCGGCAGCCTCAGCTCAAAAATGGTCCGGACTTTGTGTGGGATGCGGCTTGGAGCCCGGCTGCGGAGATGTTGCGGGGACTTGGTGTTCTGTTGTCTGTTTACATCGTGGAGACTCAGCTGCAAGACGCCCCACCCTGGTCCTCCGCTTCCTGGCCGCCCCTATGCTGGGAGTAGGGACCTGTCGGCAGTGCCTGGTACGCACCATTCCGGCGCTCAAAGCAATGTATTGTTCACCTCGGCTTCTTTCGGGGGTAGTTGTATAATCAAATCAATTCTCTGAAGCCAGTGATTTGCTCAAGGGCATCCGAAATGGACATTAATCATTGCGCCCAGTCTCCGCATTTGTTGCCCTCGACTCGCCCCAGCTGTCAACTTTGCATGCTTCGGTGCCAAAGCCAGAGCTGCGCCATGTGTGGAGTCACGCCCAAGAGCTCACAGCCTCAAGTCCGCCATGTCCACGGATGACGTATAGTGGAACTTTCTGACTGTGCCATAGACACCTAATGCCCGAGAACGATAGGCGAGAGGCTTGAGCTGTTGGCGCAGGGAAGGCTGGGGCATCCTGAAGACGCACCATGGCGTTGCGTGAAACAACTTGCTGGATGGGGCCGAAACAGCCACAACAGCTGCAGCAGCTCGCTCAGCGGCTTGCCATCCACTGCCAATCAGCTTCTCCTGAGGCGCGGCGTGCCAAAGCTGTTTGCCGTATCCACGAATGACGCATAGCCAGTGGAACTTTCTGGCTTTGGGGCTCCCACTCGCCGTTTCTTGACGAAGAGCAAGGATGACAGCTGGTCCACCAGAAGCGCAGGCGCGAGCAACGCATGGAAAACGACGGGGGCAATCTCTGTTGTCCCAAGAATATCTGGCAGCATTTGTTTTCCCCGTAAGAGGGAGTTTGGTTCTCCTTCGAGGAGTTGCGCTTCCTTGGTGTTCCCTGGGTCACGTCTAGGTTCTCTGCCTGCTTGACCAATGGGAGAGCTGAACTGCATAACCCAAGCTTCCACGCATCGCTGTGCCCCATCTCCAACGTTCTCGTCCAGCCATGACTCAGAGCTTGGGGCGCCTGTTGCCAGGAGAATAGCATAAGATGCTCCGCTCCAGCGTCGGGCTTTGAAGCAGCACTGATCAGCTCGTAGTGACGCGGCCTGAACACCGCTGACGCCTGTTCAGAAAGTGAGCTTGGACAAAAGGAAGCTTTAGAGTGGACCAAATCATGAGAACCATCAGCAACCTTCGGAAAATAAGGGCGTACCCCCATTCCCACACAAGCTCACTTGGTGCATGCAAAGGGGGATCCCAGCTCCTTGTTGCGTGCTGCTTCCGGCGAGCGGCAGTGTTGGTGGCTTGCCGCATGCAAACATCATGATCATAATATGCATTGAACAGTTAGGTCTCTCATTAATTTGGTCTTAGATGCCAGACAGTAGCGGTATGTGCTTTGGCGCAAAATTCTAAAGTGTATTCCGCGAATAGTTCTGTCTGTCATTGGCAGCACTCTGGTTGTAGGCTACGCACCTTTGCCAGAAAGCGCTAATACTTTCTTTGCCGGCAAATGCAATATTGGCAGTTCTGCCTTCTTCTATGAACAGCTAGTTCCTTTGTTCAAGTAACAACCGAATTATAAGCGTGTACTTTGGCGCATGTTAGCAGTCATTTCTTGAATCAGTTGGTCTCTGATCGAGTTCTATTATGTGAGGTGCCGTAGCAGACCATCTTGTGTTTTTTTGTGAACAACTCTGGCATATACTATGTTGGTCCACGCGTAAGTAATGTTCCAAGGGTTACAGGCATTAGGTGCTGCGCAATACCATGATATCTTTGCCGCGATACTATTGTATTTTTCGGCCAGATCTTGCCTTGTGTTTGTCTGTTGGTCCATATGGGAGTCGTCCGCAAGGCAACAACTGCATACAGATACCTTTTGGTCCTTGTGTTGCTCTCCGCAAGAGCTTCGTGGTGGAGGTCGCGAAAGTTTTTGTTTGCGTGCATGGGCTGTTTGCTTTTTCTTGAACGGGTTGGTTGGACCCCACCAAGTGAACACAATGTGGGCAGGCCATGGCCAAGCCCGTAAGGGTACACATTTGGTATGCGATCTGTTTATATATTTTCCTTGCCCCCCCATGGATCGTTTGGGCCCAAATGGGGTCGACCCCAGAAAGGGCTCCAAACTTTTCTACTAGGAGTGTGGCCTTTTTGACTGCTTGCCCTTCAGGGATCTGGAATCATCAGACGAGAAACAGCCGGGAATTCTTTGATTTAGGATTAAGTATACATACTGGATGACGTTTGACATTGAAGCTTTCTCTTTCTCGTTCTCTTTCTTTTGCACTCTCTTGTTCTTCTCTTTGTCGTCTGTCTCTCTCTCTCTCTCTCTTTCTCTCTCCCTTTACCGTCAAAACGTTGAGCCTTAGGGCAGCGCAGAACGACACCATTGTGGGGGTCCCATACAATACGGGGAAGGAGTGTGCGCAGGAGTGGCTCAACTGCCCGGAAGATGTGCTTGTCTGAGCGCAGGTCGGCTGCAACATGCATTTAAGCAAGACCTGGAAAGGTTGCGTCCAAAGATATGTATGGTAAGCCAAAAGGGTTTCTGTCAAACATGTTGATGTTTGCCATGTTTTGACAAAGGGAACAACTCGGCCAGAATGTGTGCAACTTTGCAACTACTCATGACCGCCAGGCAGCGACAGATAGGACTATTTTTTGAAGGGATTTTGACAGGCCTGCATTTGTTGTCGCAGTCTCTTCCATTTGATGTTCTCTTTGGAGCAGTAGTCGCAGGCATCTCCAGATCTCCGGCAAGGTATGCCCCACTTAAAGCTTATTCGGGTCTCAAACCAACCATTGCAAGCACCCTGGCAATGCTCTTACGGGGAAGAGCAAGACAAGTTGCACGGGCTGATTGCAAGGACACAATTGGCAGTGATGTAAGTTGCACTGTTGACAATGTTTTAATCCATCAAGAACAAGCATGTCCTTTGTTCAATTGCATGAATGAAGTGGGTATCGCTTGCCATGCCATGGACATGACCGCAAGAGGCAAGGACTCCTCTCGAAAGCCGCTGATGCCCGTGGATTGCATCCTATGCTTTGTTCCAATGCTCGTCGCGGACATCTTGCGGTCTCGTTTGGCACTGGATCTCGATTGATGCCATCAGAGTCATTTGACCGGCTGGACGCAGAGCTGCGCTCTCGCGCCGAGATCACGGATGACTGGACCGTCTGGACGGTGCTGGGGGTCGGCGGGGGCTTTGCTACGCCATGAGCCCGTCGCTTGCCACCCGACCCAACGGGACAGCCGCACCCGGCTTTTGTTTGCTTAAGATCAACAAGCCCGACACTGTGTGAGTCCGCTGCCAAAGAGATTGGGTTCTAAACCCAAGGCTCCCTATGCTTGGACGTGTTTGGAGGGAGATTGCATGTTGTTCAGCAGCCGAGTAGCTTTGACCTTTTTTGCTTGAGCGCAGTGCGGCCTGCTGCACCTGCCGCCCGTCTTTCTGTGGGTAACAGCGCCTAGGAACCGTGGAGCTGAGCGGCTGGGCTCCGGGGGAAGCTTTCCTGGAGCCCTTTTCAAGGGGTCCCTTTTCAAAGGGCTCCAGGATGTTGACAGGCTTCAAGGTGATACGCCAAGCATCTTTCCAAGTCGCGGCCTATTCCGCGAGAGGCGGACGCTCGTTGATGTTTCGCTAAAGCCGCGACGCAGTCTTCCATTTCTGCAGAGCGCGGGGTCACCACGATGAGACGTCATCGCAAGGGATCTATGGAGGCCCCGAGGATTCGCAAGCGATTTAATGGGTATTGAAGTATTTAGCTCGCTCCTAGAAAGCGTGTCTCGCGTTCAAGCGCGAGCCTGCCTGAAATTTGCGGGTTGGTTCCTAAAGATGGGGAACCCTCCAAAGTTGCGGGTTTCGCTTCATCCAAAAAGAGGCCCCTGTTTTTGACACTCCAATCCTTGCACCTCGCGCATGGTTGTTGAAAGCTCGGCAGGCGCGCCGATCCGAGATAAAAGTAGCCTTTTGCAGGAGACCGGCGCTTGGTTCTTTGGAAGCTGGGTTTGTTTCGGTGAGAGCCGTTTGTGCCGGATGTGCTTCTCGCCCTGTCGCTCCCGGGCGCTTGAGTCGGACAAGCCCGCGATTGGTCGGTCGCGTCGTTTGTGCGTTTGGCCTTGGACGGAGGTTGCTTTCACATGCATCCGAGCCAAAAGGACACGGCTGAGACCACGCGCGCGGGCGCTTCAAAAGTGAACCCCTGAGACCGAAGCTTCGCCGTATCCTTTGAGCCGTCGAATCGGCGAAGCGTTCAGCAAAAGGACATCAGTGGCAAAAAAGGCACCGCTCTAGATTCCAAAGGTATCCAAACTTAGTGACGTAGGGAACGGTTGCTCTGCAAAAAGGTTATCCCCGGTGGCTGGGGCGTTTTTTGTCTCCGGTTCTTTGCTCAACTGGGAATGGCCTGCGCGACTCTCACCCGGCGCCGTTGTGCGCATGATTCGAGTCGCTGTGTCCGAAAAAGCTGACAGGCAGGGGCCCGGTTTAACAGGTTCCAGGCGGGTTCCGATCGCTTGCGCCAAAGGACAAGTGTGTAGCATCCAAAAGGAGCCCATCTCTTCATTAGACTTCATTTAGGGTCAACCGAGACAGGTGCGGGACGGGCCGGGCGCTCATCTTTTAGGGCGCATTGCCGTCCATGGCTGGTCTTTCGAAAGCCGACTCGAGCGCACCGACGCGCGCAGAAGATCTCTGCTTCCCGGACCCCGGTGCCGATGTCGTGCTTGGGGTTGGCTCTGAACCGCGGCCCGGGCTCTGGAAGATACGGACGATGCTTTGCACCAACGGCTCATCTCGGCCTTTGTGTTCGTGGCGACTTCCCTTCTCCCAGATCCTGGGGCCAGATTGCCCGCTGGGTTGAGTGCGACAATCCGCAGCTTTCCAAGACGCGCCAAACTTTCTGGGGTTTTCTTTCCATACGTTTTTCCTGTGGAGTCATTCCTCGAGTGTGAACGTGAGCAAATCGCATGAGCCAGCCCTCCATTTTGGAGTTTCTCCTTCTGCACACAGCGAGCTGCTTATGTTTGTCCAGGTAAGCTGAAAGTGCATGGCTGCACTAGGTGCTGGCATTCCGCAGCAAAGGTGCCGATGCTATTTTTTTGCAGTGGCATTTGAGAGCATGGTTAGCAAAATATGTTGCTTAGTTCCAGGATTTAATTTTCAGCGGCTGACATGTGGGGATACTCAGGCAGGCTTCAGCGACTAGCCTTCTGCCTTTCGAGTGAGCATGTGTTCGCCAGCTTTGCTTCAGGGCTGTATGTCTCTTCAAGTGGTCGCAGGGGATTCCCATTGTTTAAGAGCCCTTTCTGAGAAGTTGCGCTTCTCTCGGCATCTGGGCCGCTCACGCGATGTCGGGCTACCTGCCCCTCGAGAACCTGTGCAGAGCATGGGGCATCTTTCGCCAGGGGCAGTGGCCCCGTCGCCACCCGGCGAAGCTGCTTCCCGCCAAACACTTTTTGCCGGTGTTCAGTGCCTGCATGCGAGCACCGCGCTGTCTTTTTGCCATGGGTTGGTGGAAAACCTATCGGTCGACCGAACCAAAGGCCGCAAAAAGGAGGGTCTGAATTTGATTTTCGATCGGACACCGCGTCTGTTTTCTCCAAGACAAATCTGTGTCCGATTGAGGGGAAGTCTGGACTGCCGCGATTCGTGTGGAAGCCTGGATTGCGACTATTCGTCTTTGCAGCTCCTTTGTCGAAGAAAAATGGGAGTGCCCCACCCAACAAGATGGCCCGTTTCCTTCTCATTTCATTTTCAACACCCTCCAAAGAGGGTTCCCAATCGGTTAACTCCATGGAAGGACGACAGGATCCAAGACTTCAGCAAATCCCAGCTTGATTCACTCGGATCAGCTGGTTTGATGTTCTCCCAGATGAGCAGCCGTAGCAGCGGCTTGCTGGGACTGGCAGTGTGAATGCCAGTTGGATCGCCTCCGCGAGTTGCCCAGGTCGGTTTCAACTCCAGAGGTCGCGGGAGACGTTTGGCACGTGCACGCACCGAGACGTTACCTGCGTGCGGATGAGTTGCCTGAGTTTGCCTGGCGGCAGACGATGTCGGGCGAGCCTCGCGAAGCGGATGGCCCTGTTTGAGGCCATCGGCTTGGCGCTGCGAGCCCCCAGTCCGGAAGTGAGCATTTGGTGCAGAAGGCCTCTGACCACGAAGGCCTCGAAGGTTGCAGGGACGGCGACGCAAGACCGGCGCGACATGCGCTTCTTGCTCTCAGAGAGCAACTGCCCCTTTCCCATGGAACCTGGTCAGAAAGAAGGCTTTCTCTGCAGCGTGGTTCCTTGCGCATGGTGCAAGCAAGGTGTTGCCATTTGGAGCGCCATGAGGTAGGCGCCAATCCGCATGAGCTCGAGGCGAGTGACGGGGCCTTGCTGAGGGAGATGTGGAGCCTTTGGACCAGGGGCCGCCTGGGTCATCGTTCGTGGCCAAAATTTCGAGAGGGACATGGTGGACGCACATTGCCAACTGGGGGACGAGCCTAACTTGTCCCATGCCTGTTGCTGGACTAGCGGATTTCGGAATCCGCGGCCCATGTAAAGCTTGGCTTCAAGTCAAACAATGCCTCGTGACCCTGATCCGACCGTCCAAAACAAATGCCTGGCCCTGTGTGGATTGCCCTAAAAATCGGGCCCCAAGCAAATGTTGAGATACGAGTCCTTTAGATGTGTCTGAAAACTCGGCTTCAGAGGTCAGTTCTCTTTTGCCGGTGAACAGAAGAGGCTCTCCAGCTCTCCAGCTTTATGTTTTTTTCGGCTCGAGGGCAAACCTCCTCTCAGCTCCTTGGACCCTCCCATACAAGCGCACAGAAGGCCCTCTTGGGGAGAAGTCGGAGAACATTTTTAATCAGGCTCCGCCTTAGAGAGTGGGCATTTGGTGAAAGGGGGGAAGGACAGCAAGCGGCAGGTTCAAATGAGGTGCGTCCTTCATTTGGCACCATCAGCTCAGGCTGAACGGATAAGCGGCTGAATGATAGAGTGAGCCAACACGAAACCAAGGAGTAGAGTAATCGGCCTCTTGCTGTGACGCTTCTGCCCACGAGTTGCCCTCCAACGGTCTCGTGGACCTATGATTCCCACGCTATAGGCTTCAAGATGTGCCCCAAGTGCATGCAGAACCAGCGCTTCGCTGGCTCCGGCAACCCTCGATTTCGCCAGTTCGCCATGTCCTTCGCGGCGCGTGCCGTGCAAAGTGTCAGCACTGCGCGGCTGGCCAAGTGAAGCATGTTGCAAAGCAGCGCTAGGATCTCTCCAATCAAGTCAGGCATCCACCACTCAACACTGGCGTATCATCATTCAATGTGAAGAAGTCAGCATTGGGAAGTTGTGATAAAGAAACAACCACTTGGTAGGCATTGGAGGTATGCATTGCTTCGCAAGGCCCAAGTAAGTCTTGACGCGGTAAGCTTGCATACATGGCCGCGCTGTGATGATTCGGGCTGAGCAGCACGTGCCGAAAGACCTTGCAGTATGGCCTTCCGGGTGGGTCAAACTGCTCTCCTTCAATTTGTTGTCCGCGTTTTATTGGATAGTACAAACACATGTGCTTTCTTACACAAGTTGAAGGGGAAAAGGTTGCACAGGGCAACCACGCCTTGAATGCATCTTCGAAGTCACGTGAACAAGTGCCGTGTTGAGAGCAGATGAGACAAGATGTCAAAATTGGCCCTCACGTCGTTGCAGTCCGACAATCACTGGCATGTCGATATTCAGCCACGCCCACTTGAGAACTGGCCTGGGCTTTCTGTTGCACCCATTCAGCTGGATTGGAAGCTGAAGCAACTGGCCATTCTTAGGTATTTCCAGCATATCCTTCCTAACATCCGGCCTGCTCCCACGACGTACGCGTGCCCACCCCTTGGCTGCTTGACTGGGCCACTGCAGGTGGGATGTTCAGGACACGTAGTTGTAAACTGCAAACGGGTGCCGGGGTCAATACTGGTTGGTGGACATACACGCTCATGTAAACAAGTAATGTCCACCAAAGGGCACCTTGATGGAAATGACATATTTCACCTGCTTCCTTTCTAGTATTCTTGTAGCGCTCGTTCAGGCTGGGTTTACAGCGTCAAAAACCATCTCACAAGGAGTGCAGATTTCCGTCTTGGATTGCACCTGCGCGTTTGCAGCTTGGGCCCCCGGCCCCTTTCTTGGCCCACGTGCTTGGTCCAAAAGGGTTACAAAGGATGCCAGGAGTACCCTGCATTTTTGACCATCCACATGATTCAGCACTTTGCGATTTGTGTCGCATGGCACATTGCTTGGCAAGGAATTCGCATGCTCGATAAGCAAGAAGCAGCTTGGACAAGGTTTCTTGAGCCAGATTGCTAACGCTTCTGGTCGAAACTGCTCATTGGTTTTGAAGGGACACCCTAAGGAAACCAACCACTTGGGGCTCCCCTAGTTTGCAGACAAAGCCATATGTGTGTCCCGGTGCGCTGCTCCATGCAAATTTCCCAGAGACGGTGCGCTGGCAACGCTTTGCCCGCGAAGGTGGTACTTCCGGGGAGCATGGTGCTTAGAGTGTGACGGTGTTTGGCAAGCTTTTCAGGCGCCAAAAACAACTCGCGGCCAAAGGCCCGCCTTGGTTCCGGAGCGTGGCACCGTGCCAGATATGACTCGAAATGCTTGTCGCATTCCGGTCCAGTGCGGATTGGGGATAAGCTGCGGGTGACACCAAGGGCTACGCCCTTGCAATGCCTAGCTGCACTGGGCGAAGCCAATTTGTTTGGGTTCTGGATATATCCCTCTTAAACATTGAACACATGCTCCAGCGGATGCCGTTTGTTGAAAAACCATGCGTGTGACCCCCGGGCCTAGTGCGGACTGTGCCTTATGCCCCAGTGGTGAACCCACATGATCATGCAGCCTGTTTTGAGGATGAGAATTGGACAGGAGCAGGAGCCCATGCAGCCCAGCACAATGGTTGCATCTTGCATCTTTGCCCATGACTAAAATGATGCTGGCAAAGATATAAGCCCCACGTGCAATGGTGCCAAAGGCTTAGATCCTGGGAGTCAGGGTAGATCTACCAAGCAGTTCCCAAGTGGGACAGTTGCCCAACCGGCCGGAAGTTGTGCGATGCGCCAGGCGCACGCACGGCCCCGTGTTCGGTGCGGTTCAAAGCCGGTGTCTTGGGGCCGGCCCCGTGGAAGTGCGTAACGTGCTGCAAGCTGCCTCCCTTGGCTCTCACCAATCTTTCGCGGAGCTTCGACTGGATTCAAGTGGCATCGCCTGCCGTGAGCAGAGCGCGGAAAATGGGAAGCCCGGAGTCCTATTCTAATACCAACCTCAAATTAAACAGGAGAATCCTATTAGTCAGGTTCCCCAGTTGTCCTAAAAGACACTTCTCAGGATTGTTCCGAAGTTGACATAGCGGTATGCTCCTGTGAAAGTGATTCGGAGGACCGGGACTGGTTTTGGCCAAAATCTGCGAATGTGCTGCCATCACAAAGAACAAACCTTTGCATAGTTGCAAGGGGGCGGGCAACTTTTTAGGTCAATCCAATCAACCAGTGTGAGACAAGCCCTAACTTTCTACCCTTCGGGTGCCTCCGCAGATTTCAGCTTCGGAATCGGAAGCGAACTCTCAACCGACTTGACCATGGGATCAATGAGCTTACTGTGTTCTCCCTTGAATCCATGTGGACCAGCGAATTGACCAATTTCGATCAGCACGGAACATGTTCCGTACCGGCCTCTCGTTTTGGGTGGCTTCAAATATCGCCTTTTGGGCCACGCGGTGATGTTCAAAGGGGAAAATTATGAGGGGCTGTTTTGTTTGTTTTCCAGTCTTGGTTTGTTGTTTCCCATTGTTTGTTAGCTCCTCAACCAACCTGGATAATTGGAGATCCTTTCGGGAGACTCGGCATATTGCTTTGGACTTATCTTGCTGGTTCTCAGCAGGGAACGAGAATTGGAACGCCCCCCGAGAAAACACCATCCCCGATTTGGTTTCCTAGGGAATCCCCAAACGGTATCATTCCCAACACGGTCATTCCCTACCAACCACACCAGCAAGTTGTTGGACTTCCACTTCGCCCGCGATGTGAGCGGATGGCGTCGCTGGCCCCGCGGCTTCCAATCGCCGCGGGCTCGGAGCCGGCACGTCGCCACCAGGCGGCGCTGCGGAGGCGGCGATGGGATCGAAGCTGTGGCCTAGTAGTGCAAGTATGTTTTTTGGGGGTATGAGGTCAACCTCTGACAGAAAAGGAGCTATTTGCCGTGGCAAAAACTTGTTGTTTTTCTCCCAATATACCCCAACAAGGCGGGTATTCGGAGTGGGGGGAAAGCCCCAAGACTTTGAAGGGCCGATCTTCGACTAGGTCCTTGGTAGCTCGACACATGATAAGCACAGACACTAACTGCCAGGTGTGCTGACTTGGTCCAAAACTGCAGATGTCGACCTGAGATTCAGCTGGCCTGAGTTAGTTACGGGGTTTCTCACAACCCCAGAAACATGCATACTTGTCAAACTGCCTGAGAATAGACGCACGAGCTCCGAGGACATGCAAAAACGCACACCAGAACATTTTCCACAATTACCCGCGGCAGGAAACTGGCTGTCAAAGATGACCACATCTCGAGGCAAGAAGATTGACCAGGCTCCCCTTGGTTTTCCCTTGAATGGGTTGCATTTTTCTACCCTCCCAGGGGTTTTGGAGTAGAACCGAGAAACCATCGACTTGTCTTGCAGCTCTGCCAATCTTTTCCAGCAATCCTTTGCCCAGGGGTGCTCATAATTTTCTCTGCGAGGGTCGAAGATTGCAGTAGCCACTCAATGCAATCTTCCGACTTATATGAATGGCGCAATGCTCGCATGGGAAATGCGATGCCCGATTTGTTGTTCAGGTTAGCAAGAGAAACCCAATGTGTTTTATATGGCTGTGGTTGGTTCACTTGCAATATCTAGGGCATTTGTAGCACGACCCTTGCCCCAACCAAAACATTGGCTGCTGCAGGCCACAGCGTGCGGCAGCCGAGCGCAAAGGACGTTCTGCGCTGTGGTCCATTGCTTCTTGGCCACATCACCCTAGTAAAAACAACCCCTGACTAAACGGGGAGATGTATCGTGGAAACCCTGGCAAAACACGGGTATTCGGAGTAGGGGGGTACCCTAAGTTGAGCAGGCTGGTCCTGTATTTTAGACGACCTTGTTGGGTAAATACCTGGGTCTCCCTCCAAAACATATGGGTCTCCCCCAATCCGTCCAAGATTGTCTTCTTGGTTCTGTTTAGAGGACCTTATTGGAAAAACCCAAGGAGTATTCCACCAGAAACCTGCTGGAAGCCGTCCGCAACAGGGCGCCCCAAAACCCTGTTGTCTCAGACCCCATGCTTGGATGTTCATCCAAGTTAGTCAGTAGGTTTAAGTGATAACCATGAGTATTGCTTGGGTAGTTGGGGGTTAGTCCCTGGATAACCATGGGAATAAGACCTGCTTACCCGACGTGGATTGAACATCCAAGTAGCGTAAGTGGGTGTGCGTCATTTCCCCTCTTGACCAAGGACCATCCTGCGGAAGGAATAAGGGGGAGCCGCCATGATCCTTTGAATTACAATGTGTTTGCTGAGGGTTCTTCAACAAACTCTATGATTTGTCCCTAGCCGCTGTTGGGTGAAGGGCAATCTTGGGTTGGGCACTGCTTGCCGTCTCTCTTGCTGGAAAACCTGCTTCGAGTTGCCGGTGATAAACACAAAAAATATCCATGCAATACGTGTTCATGTGGTTGCGGGCCCGTAGGTGTTCGAACCCCATGAGCGCGATATTGGATTCGCAGGGACCCTTTTCTCCGCACCCAAACCATGTTTTGCCTCCATGGGATCCTTTGGTTCATGGGCCCAACAATAGGTTGGGTCGACAGGAAAAGGTTCCCTCGCACACCCACCGACGGATATCAAGAAGCCAGGGAAGGTTTTTACCATGAAAGTGGGTATACCGGGCGTTGAGTAGGACCTTGGCTCAACATTCAGTATGACTCAGTATGACACTGTTGAGTACGACTCCGTCGTTCCCGTATGGGGGTCGAGTCCCCTGCAACCTATCCCCTCCATTCGCGTGGGAAGGCTTATGTAGCGTTTCGATTGGGGGATCAGTTTCTTGAGATGTTAACGTGCTCCCCGTGTCCTAAACTCGGAATCGGACCTACAAAACCGTGGCAGATTTGATATATTCTTTCCCTTCAGCAGGGGCCCCCTCTTTGAATCCCCCGCTCAAGCCAGTTGAATCATGTTGCCTGGTGCTTCTGTTTGGGAAATCTAGGAGCCCAGAACAAAACACAATTTTGGGAGCCCAGTCTAAACAGCATTGACCTCTGAAAAAATGAAGTCACGTGGTTGCAAACGACTGAGATGGGCTTCTGGGCTAAAGCGTTAACCGTAGGTGGTCGCTTGTCTTGACTCTTAATAAGTATCCACTTGGGCCACCATTTTGGCTCAAGTGGACCTTTTGATCCTTTGTCTTGTGATTTGAAATCTTTCTTTCCCCTACTCTCAAAGCCATGTACGCCCCCGCCTACGCTGGTGCCGCGGCAGCAGAGGCCAAGCCTAAGGCAAAGGCCTCCATGGCAAAGTACCTGGCGAACCTCGTGAAGAGGGAGGAAGAAGGATGGACCATTTTGGCTGCTGAGGTCCCTCAGGCACCTGACGAGCGTTTCTTCTCCAGCGCAGATGAGCTGGAGCAGGCCCCCCTTATCCCGGCCAAGCGCAAGGCAGAGGATGAGCCGATGGAAGATGCAGCCCCTGGGGTGGCGCAGGTGCCGAAGGCCCGACGCCCAGTTTCCCCTCGGCTGCAGCCCGCTTGGAGGAGGCCCGCCTGGATGCCCGGGCAGACGCCAAGTGGCAGAGGCGCCGGGAGCTGATGGCGAAGGTCAAGGAGCAGGCGTCCTCGGAGGAGGATGAGAACCCCGCAGCCCCCCCGCCGGGGGGGAGCGTGTTCACCAAGGCCCTCAAGGTCTCGGAGGGCCTCTACCAGTTCAGCGACGACCAGATGGCGGGCGACTTCCCTTGCTTCGATGCGACCACGGCCACTAGGCTCCGCCGACTGCAGGCCAAGGACGTCCAGCGGCTCCTGCGAGGCTTTGAGGGCCCCCAACTCAAGCGGGGGGGCCTGGAGCGCGTTGTGGAGGCCTTCTACATCGCCAAGATGAAGTACGAGCATGAGGCCCGGCTCAGCACCCCGGGACAGCAGGTTGGCAAGCGCGCTGGCTTGGGGTACGGGGGCCTGGAGAACCGCCCCCTGGGCAAGGTGCCCACATCCTGGATCTGCCCCTGCTGCACCATGCCCTGGGTGAAGAAGGGCGCCACGAAGTGCATGGGGTGCGGCAAGAAGACGGAGCCCATTGACACGGCGACCAACTCGGCCACCCTGGAGATGGCGGGCACGCATTGGCAGTTGACGGTGGATGACCAGGGCAATGCGGTCTGGACGGCGGCCCGGTCCGCGGGTGCCGAAGGCCCTGACACGGACCGGGCCCGCGACCTCAAGCTCAGTGCCTCGGTGGACGTCAGCGAGCTGGCCACCGACCCGATGGCCTGCGAGAACCCGGACCAGGCCAGCTTCTCGGACTTCGTCCCCTCCTCGGTCCGGGCGGTGATCAGGAACTGCCCCATGGAGCTGGACGAGGAGTTTCTGACGGCCCCACCGGGGGAGAGGCCCCCATTGCCAGGCGACAAGGAAGAGGGCCAGGAATGCAGAGCCTTCCACCCGTCTGCGGTGAAGGCCTTCAAGATTCAGACCCGGCTCAACGCCACCACCATCGCCCAGGAGGAGGCCAAGAAGGCGGACCAGGTGGAAGCGGTGGAGCGCTCCGCGGCGGTCCTCCACGAACTTCAAGGGGGGGCCATTGACGGAGGAGGTGATGGAGGCCTGCTCCTGAAGAACCTGGACTTGGACCTCTTCCGTGAGAAGCTGCTGGACAAGCTGGGTGCGGACTGGGGGAGACCCACACCGGAGCTCCTCCAGGCCCAGACCACTGCGGAGGAGGCGAAAGCGAAACACCAAGCCAGACAGGCGAAGGGCTCCCTCGAAACCAGAATGCTCGAGCCCATCGCGCCTCCCTTCAGTGCGTGGCCTAGTGAGGTCCGGGTCGCCATTGAGACTGGGGTCTTCGAGCCGACAACGGCATGGAGGGACTTCAGTATGGACGACCTCACATCCCTCACGGACTCCTACCTTGAGGCCAAGGCGGTCATCTCGCTGGGTAGGAATCCCTTCCCGGCGGCCCTCCTGTCAGATCTGCCGGACCTGACAGGGATCCCCATGCCAAAGGCGGGGGGCTCTGGTGCGGCGCGCCCAGGTGCCGAGGGCCCTGACAGGCCGCCCACCATCCCCCCAGCCTCGGGCTCTGGCGTGACGAGCTCAGGTGCCGAGGGCCCTGACAAGCCGTCCGCCACCCCGGTGGGCCTGGACACCAAGGACCCGGAGGTGCAGCTCTCGGTCCTGCGCTGGATGATGAGCAAACGGGTCGGAGAGGTCCGTATCTTTGCGGGCCGCTGGGTCCGACGACCGGGCCCGGTACACGTCCCGGATTGGGCGAAAAACCTCACCAAGGTGAATCCGGAGGCGTTGGAGAAGGGTACGCATCCCAGGAACCACCAGGTGGGTGGACTCCCCTGGGCCAGGTACTCCGTTGATGAGTTGAACCAGCAGGCGAAGGCGGGGGACCGACCCTACCCTGCGATCCATCTTTTGGGCTGCCCCCCACGATCCGGATGAGGACTTCCACTGGACGCGCCAGATCTCGTCCTGGACACTCCCAGGCCTACTGGGGATGTTCGGGCACAGCTACACCCTGCGCCAGCTCTGGGGAGTCTGGGAGTCTCTGCCACTGCTGCAGGGCCCTAGGCAGCGGGGCCCGAAAAACAAGGCCCAGAATCAGACCCGCCTGAGGCTGGGAGACCCTGAAGGAGGACGCGCGGTGCTTCCTGAAGGAGGAGGGCCTTCCGTTTCCGCAGACAGGACCGGAGTGGCGATTGGTCTACCGGGCCATGGGCAAGGTCCTCGCGGCCCGGGCCTTCCTCACGGACACCCCGGCGGAGGTGATGCAGCTCCCGGTCCAGGACGTGGCGAACTCCAAGGAGCAGATGATCCTGCGGGCGGTATGCGACGAGCGCATCTCGGTCCCGGTGGAGAGCCTCCAGCAGTTCCCAGAGGTGTACAAGGCCCTCATGGACCGCAGTGGAGGCCCGGGGGCCCTGGCGGAGGTGAAGGTCAACTGGCGCTGCAACACGAAGCAGTGGTGGGTCGGCGCAGTCCCCGACTCAGTGGCCCCCTCCATCTACCGCAAGCTCGGCTACACCAACGACATGATCAAGCTGATGGGCCTGGACCCCTCCGCCCCTGGGTGCCGGACAGGTGCCGATGGCCCTGACATCCGCCCCAGGGGAGGCGAGGGCGATGAGGGGATCGTTTACCCCCCCATCACGCGGCGTGGTGGGTAAGGACTACCGGAAGAAGAACTATCCGGTGGAGATGAAGCATGTCTTCTGGGCGCACATGGAGTGTGGCCTGGTCCTGAGCTCCGTCACCCCGTGGGAACTCATCCCGAAGACAAAAGGGGAGACCCGGGGGGGCTACATGTGCAAGTATTGTAAGGGGTACTGGCGTGCCGGGGGAGGGGGCACCCGCCTCCTCCAGATCCGGGCCGGCAAGGCCATCTTGCAGCTGGTGTTGGACGAGCCGCCGGAGGGCCTCTACAACTGCTGGGTGAAGGAGCGGCTGGAGTACTACCGCCGGGCGGAGCCCTCGGCCCCGTTGCGGGACGTCTCCATCGTGGACCAGAAGGTGCCCAGGTTCAGATTCAGCCAGACCACCCAGACAGGCCACGTCTCCAATGCCATCTGGGAGCTGATTCTGCGGAATCCGGAGGCTGCTGCGCTCAAGCGCATCGATGACATCGCGAAGGGGGCCGCGTGATGATGCGGGACAACGCCATCTTCCGGCACACCATCCAGGACCGCGGCCATCCGGAACGGATGCGCAGCGCACCCCGGGGGGGGGACAGCTGCCGAAGG